TCAGACATGTCTAGGCTTGTGTATATTGAGTTAGCCTTCCAGTTGTATTAGAGTTCATTGAAAACACTAAGACGACGTCGCAAAGGCAGCGGAAGTAAAGTAACCGGATGTTTACGACTGATTACGCCATACTTACGTCGTCTTAGGCTTCGCGTCCTCAAATCTAAATCTGTTTATTGTCTGGCATAACTCTCATAAATGACTGGAACCTTCGAGTTCTATAATAACTGGAGCGGCTATCTTAAACACGGCTTTAATTAGCGGCTGACGCCAAAAAAATGGAGGATTTGTTCCATTACCGCTGAGATTTACCGAAATTGACTGCTTTTCCGAAAATTTCACAATTTCTCTCTCCCCCCTAAGGAAGGAGTGAGGAAAAGTGTATGTGTTTTTCGCATATTTGGCAAGCATTTTTATGATGAAAATCACTGTAAAAACATAAATTTCATAAAAGCGAGTCTACTGTGGTTGCCAGTTGTCGGCTTCTATGACGGATGCCTTTTTTAACTATTGACGAAGGAGCTATTTGTTGGCCACATATGAATGCAGATGTGCGCGTCGTAACTGTCGTTTAATGCTTTGCTCGATATCAAAGTGTGTAGTCTGCACGAAACAAAATATATCATATTTTATCTCAGCAGATCACGAGAGAAATGTTAGCTCATTTATTCTCATTAGCTTTTAGTTTTCCTTCATGTGATGGCTTTTTTCGCAACAATTGTAGGATTTGTTTTTTTACATGCATCTCGCGTTTCGTAAATGAATGATGAAAAAAACATTGTATGAAAATCACGAGAACCATTGAGATTTTTGTGGTCTTCTGAACAAGAACTGCATCAAATACTTGTCAAGTTGTAGCATATTTGATTTCGTTGTAATGATTATGAAACGGCAAAAATGCAAATAATTAAAACACTTAAATTACAATATTGTCTATATTACTTGAATACATGAATACACAATTATGTATGTAATACTTCTCTTCTTGTTCTCTTTTTTATGTGTTTCCTATTAGCCACGTGAGTTCAGAATTTTATTGACCAATACAGGTTTCACCTCAATAGTAAAGTTCATACCCATATTTAATACCAGTTGCTATAGGATTTTTAGCTCTAAGTATGGTGTTGTTTACACAAGAATGATGAAGTGCGTGTACACATGTAAAAATGAGGCAATAAAACCAAATGAATTAAACACATTTTGTGTTCTTTAATGCTAGAAGCTTAACAGCTTTTCAGAAATTATAGAGTTATTAAACTGTACTACCTGTATTTCATTCATATTATGAAATGAATTAAGAAGCAAAAATTGAAGAAAAACTTGGAAAAGTCAAAAAATTTCCCTGGATTATCAAAGGAGAAAATATAGCTAATGGCAAATGTCCATTCTGTACTTTATTAGGTAAATGATCTCTAAATATTTTTTTAAACAAAAACTGAAATTAAGAAGAAATATATAGCACTCAAGTTTTCATAACTGAATCTTTAATGCTTCAATATGGCATGCAATACATATAACTAACATTCAGACAACATTCTACTAAAATAATTTAATAAAGATGTGACATGATTTTACAATTTAGTTATACAAAACACACTGCATGGATTGTACAGTTGCAGTAAGTCATCATCAATCTCAGTATCAATATTGACATAAGCACAAACTTTATGACCTTTTTACATGACATTTCACCAAGCATCACGACACACATAACCTTGTTATCTTTATTTGGTACTTGACCTTTACTTTCAAAACATTCAAAGCATCTTCATTAAACCATTATCTCCATCCATAGAATTAGTCCAAGTTCAAATAACTGTTGGACAGGGAAGTCTGTAAATCATTTACCTTTGTTTGTATTCAGCCTTAGCATTTTGCAGTTAGACTCTGTCTGGTCATTAACATCTTCCAATTGTCTTAATATAGTGATCTATGAAATAGTGGTGCTGCAGCATATTCCAGAAACATTTTGCTATCCGAACATCTCTTCGTGTTGTCAGCAAATTGATCAGAAGAAACTCTGCTCTACTTCATGGGTTCTCTTTGGGGGTGATCGTTTCTTCATAGTATCTGCCCACTGAGTAAAAAGAGCAAAATTTTTTTTCGCGTTAGGGAAACTATTATACAAACAGATTTACGGTTTCACACATTAACAAATAAGTGGAAAAGTATGTTGATATTTAAAAACAAAAACAGGAAAACATCAGTCGAATTTTATCGTTCAGGCTTCAAGTTCAATTGCTTTTCAATTTTTGATGAACCAACAAAACAAATATCTCACCTGTGTTGCCAAAAAAAGATATCGTGTTTATTTTTGAAAAAAGCTGTATAATTAGCTATAGACATAAGGGGGAGGTCAAGAACATCATTTTTTTGCAAAGCGATCATTTCAACGGAAATAGGTCCATTGGCCGCCATTTTTTGGCGTCAGGTCCCAGTCCTCTTAGCCGCTCCAGTTACTATAGAACTCAATGTCAAAGCATTGAGTTCTATAAGACCTGGAGGGGGAAAGGGGCCTGGGCCCCGTGGTCAAAAACATGGCGGTAATGGCGGATTTTGGTTGTCAAAACTTCCACTTTGAGAAAAATTTTTAACCTTCGCTACCTCCGGATCCGGATTTCTATTACTGCTTATTTTAATGACAACCAGCAAAAACAACCACGATACCGTAAGCCAGGGGTGGGCAACATACGACCCACGAGCCGGGTCCGGTCTCTGAAGGGATTTTGACTGGCCCGCCGACTGTATCCGACCATTGAATATTGAATATTATTCATGTAACAATCCCGCCCACCAATAACTTCATTTTCCTAAATCTGTCCCACCGACTGGAGAAGTTGCCCACCCCTGCCGTAAGCCTAAAATATTGAAAATAATGCTTCAGGTTTTGTGAAATAGACACACACATGTCCCGGCACTACAAATACACACACAATCACAGCACTACATGCAGACGAGATTGATGACTTTCACACTCACATCAACAAACAGAACAGCCACATACAATTTACCAAAGATGTCGAAGAAAACGGAACTCTTCATTTTCTCGACTGTTTGGTAAAACATGACAATCAAAAACTACGAACAACAGTTTATTGCAAGCCAACACATACTGACCGACTACTAGACCAATCATCCTACAACCCCACATCACACAAAGCCACCACAATCAGAACATTAACAAGACGTGCACAAATTATATGTGGTTTACCGGACGCTCTACACAACGAAAGCTACTATCTCAAACGTGTTTTTGACAAAAACAACTATAACTCTTACGACCATACAACATACGTGTCGCACATAAACCAATCACAACGTTACGACAAGTACTAACGAACATAAAGGACAAAGAACAACCCAACAAACGACAAGGTGCAGTTTACAAAATAAACTGCTCCGACTATCACGCCTCTTATATCGGGGAAACTGGCAGGAACTTAAATATAAGACTTATTGAACACAAACGAGCTACTAAGAAACAAGACAAAACTAATCACATTGCCGAACATCACCGAATCACAAAGCACAACATTGACTGGGACTCGGCAAAGGGCATTACTTACAGTACTGACTATAGACAACGGCTTACAATAGAAAGTTGGTACACCAACTTGGAACAAACCCCCCTGAACAGATCGCAGCAATTACCGGCACCTTACAAAAGACTTATTCACAATACAAACGATCAACTAAAAACATTGCACTTAACACTAATTCACAATGACAATACACAATTGACACCCACACATTTCCTGTACACACAATACAATGACGTCTTCCAAAGCCTTCATCAGAGAATATACATAATATATTAATCCTAACACGGTTTTTAATATGCACATTAAAAACATGTGACTTGAACAAATCTCTTTTCAACTGCGTATGGACGAGAGATTCTCGCCACTATAGCAGTTTACTGGATGGCACCGTGTTTCACGTTTCACGATGGCACAAAACATGGTGCCATCCAGTAAACTGCTATAGTGGCGAGAATCTCTCGTCCATACGCAGTTTAAAAGAGATTTGACTCGTCTCCAATCCCTGTGGGCTTGGTAGCTCGACAGGTAGAGGGGCGGACTAGTATCCCGAAGGTGCGAGTTTAAATCTCGTCCAAGTCGCATGTTTTTCATGTGCATATTAAAAACCGTGTTAAGATTAAAATATTATATACAATGACGTAAGAACCAGATAGCAAATACGGCTAACCTGACGTTTACTCCTCATTCGACTCTGAAGATGACTACCGCTACGGTTATCGAAACGTCAATCAACAACAACAAAAACAGTCCTTCTCAGGACTATACCAATCTGAACGAGCTACATTTACAAACATGTAATAATCGCAATTGTGGTTGTCAAATCCGGGTGTGCGAAAAAATTTTTATTTTATGAGCCCGCGTCTTTCCTCTGACTTTGACAACCAAAATCCGCCATGTTTTTGACCACGCGGCCGCGCGCTAATAATTTATAGTAATTTGGTTGACATTTCCCGTCCAGGTATTATAGAACTCAATGTGTCGTACTCGTAGTCTTTGCTCTCTATTGTATCTTTAGTTGAGGTAATGTTTGGAAAATTCATATTTTGTGGTCGAAATACTTTGTTCATCATTTCTTACATGAATTATATTCCCTAAAATGTGGAAAGCTAGCGAATACAAGGGCGGCGGAACATTGATGATTGAGGGGGGAGGCTATTATATTCATACGCGCATGTTTTACTTAATTAGTTTCCATTGAAATCAATTGTGTTTACGGATAATTTGATATGAATATATATAAGTTATATAACAAGCTTTTTTTTGTTGTTGCGTGGTCCCTTTCCTCGTTTGCTACGGCTGGGACTGCAGGCAGACAAATTTTACAGTAGATAATACAACACTGTTGCATTTGACATTTATTTTTCCATCGTCATTGTCCACCCGCTTTCATAAAGCACCCTTTGCTGGTTTCAGGTGGGCGCTTTTAACGAGGTTTGTATGACATAAGAATGCGTCAAATTGGTATTACAACAACTAGTATATAATTTTGAAGTCTTTTGGCCGTTACATGTACGATAGAAATGATAATTAAATAAAAAATATGGAAATAATTTACAACCCTTAAGGAACAACGAAAAGTAAATATTTACAATTGCAAAATAGGCTTTTGCAAACACATGCGCTTGTTTCTATAACTCTATAAAAACAGGGGGATTTCAGTCTCACAGTATGCGTGGTTTGCGCAAGAACTTTCAAAAGCAAAAATATAAACAATACATACTCATAGTCAATAAATTGTTCTTAAAAGGCTGAGTTATAACAGAAATAGGAAACATTTCACTTGTTTCTATTGAGTTATGGAAACACTTATGAAATTGCAAAACAAACTCCCAAGAAACACAAAAAATGTCTTCTATTTTTTAATCAGAACATTTACTACAAGAAAGCTTGATGGCAAACTGCTAATGAAATTGCAAATGAGGAACTTAAGAATATAACTATACAATGATTTCTTATGATTAGGTTACCATCTTAACAAAGACTGCATGCTTATTACAAAGTCAAACAGATGATCTTGGCGACTTCAAGTGTAAATGTCAAAGTTTGGTATTTGCCCTTTCATCACAAATGATGTCTTTTAATACCAATGGATTATCATAGCCGTTCTCCATTGGGCCGTCTTCATGTTGATAAACACTGTCGTTTTTTGCGTGGTCATTTTGTTCTGCTAAATCGCGCGTAGCATTGCCGTTAAGGTCATGGTGATCAGTTGTTTCTTTGCACGCGAAATACCAACAGAGCAGAAAGAAAAGTATTGCCAAAGCTATAGAAAAATAATTGAAATGTTAGTCTTCATGATCCTGCAATCCGAGAAAAGTAATTTATTCACGAAATCGAACAGAGAAGATTTTTGTGGGTGTCCGCTGCACATGCGCATAACCTCTATGCAAACGAAAAAGTGTGTCCGTCCGATTGATTTCTATTAAACTAACTGGATATACAACGGGGCCTGGGAACTGTTGTCAAAAACATGGATGCCATAAGGAATGAAAAATTAGTTTCATTATTCGCTCCCTCCTGATTTTGAATATTGTTTCAATACAAAATACAACCAGGAAAAACGACTACCGAAACCTAAATAATGAAGACATGCTCTAGTGTTTTATGTAATGCAAGCATTGATAAAAAGACAACCTACGGTAAAGAATTTTTGTTATGGTCAAATGACAATTTGATTCAAAAATAACACTAGACGCCATTTTACTGTGTTGCTAGTGTTGGCCGAAAGCTCTCGACCGAATCCGCTTAATGCCAGCCAAATGTAAGCTAGGCAATTCATCTGTAAACTCTCACAAACGACTTAACTGTTCGCAAACAGTTTAATGCAACTATCTTAATCGATTAAGTCGACAAGGCACGAGATATATCTTGACTAAGTTTGATCTCATTAAATTTTGAGCTAACTTTGCTGCCAGCAAATTGCTAGGGTACTGGCTGGTGTATAATACCAAAATGATACTTTGGCAAGCTATTACAATAGTATGGAGAAATATTCACCTCAACTCAGGACAAAATGTTGAGAGTACTACATTTTCTTATGAGAAATTATCACTTTAAAAATTGTAGCATATTGGCTTCTTTGACATAACATTATTTCTTGCTGCATGAGAGCAAAATTGTTTAGACAATAAATTTTGAATAAATATATTTCCCGTGTAATGTTTTGGCATTTTGTAACATGTTACAAATCATGTTTAGACAAAAACTTTGTTCAAGAGTCTAAAACTCAACAAAGAGACTTTACCAATGGCTAGCCCTAGGGCATTGTTTGTCTCTCTTGTCTCTCTCTTGGCTTGGCTTCGCGAACGAAGATTTTATGAAGGGGCTGTCCACGTCGAATACAGGCACGCTGTTCACGTCGACTACAGGCACGCTCGTGGCTGACAAGTCCGATGCGAGACAAACAGGTTCGGTCGCAGCGGCTAGAGTCAAAGGTCACGTCAGGTACGGCTGCTGAAGCTTCCCGGTTCTTCCTCCTGCGGCGTTTCTCCCTCAAGTTCTCTGTACGAGAGTCCTCAAAGGAGGAGACAGCCTGGTGGACAGTACGTCGCCAGGCATCACGGTCAGCAGCAAGAATAGACCACTGGCGGTGGTCGATATGGCAGGCTCCGAGGGACTTCTTCAGAGAGTCTTTGTAGCGTTTCTTCGGTGCCCCTCTGTCACGGTGGCCAGTGGAAAGTTCGCCATACAAGGCAATTTTGGGCAGGCGCTGATCATCCATTCTGGAAACGTGCCCTGCCCAACGTAGCTGCGACTTCAGTAGCATGGCCTCGATGCTGGTGATCTCCGCGTGTGTGAAGACCTCAACATTGGAGACGTAGTCACTCCAGTGAATGTTGAGGATGGTGCGGAGACAGCGCTAATGGAAACGCTCAAGGAGGCGTAGGTGGTTACGGTAAATTACCCACGACTCGGAGCCGTACAAGAGGGTGGTGAGTACGACGGCTCTGTACACGCTGATCTTGGTGCACTTCTTCAAGGAATTGTTGTTCCACACTCTGTTATACAGTCTGCCAAAAGCGCTGCTTGCCTTGGCCAGTCTGTTGTCGACCTCCCTGTCAATCTTCGCATCTGATGTAATAACACACCCCAGGTAGGTGAACTGGTGAACGCTTTTCAGCTCAGTCTCACCGAGGGTAATGTGAGGAGTGCGGTACTCTGCCCGAGGTGCGGGCTGATGGAGGACTTCCGTCTTTTTCAAGCTGACCTCGAGTCCGAAGAGCTGGGCAGCCTCTGCAAAACAGGACGGGAGGCGCTGCAGGGCTCTTTCGGTATGGGCAACAAGGGCAGCGTCGTCGGCAAAGAGGAGGTCTCGGATCATCTGCTCATGGGTCTTTGTATGGGCTTGCAGCCTCCTGAGGTTGAACAGGCTGCCATCAAGGCGATAGCAATGTAGACAGCATCGTCATCGTCAAGGTCTTCTGTGGCTTGCCTAAGCATCATGCTGAAGAAGATGCTCGATGATCATACTGACGAACTTTGGGGGGCAGCCGAGGCGCTCCATAATGAGCCAAAGTCCCTTCCTGCTCACTGTGTCGAAGGCCTTCGTCAAGTCCACAAAGGTTACATAGAGTCATTTGTTCTGTTCCCGGCACTTCTCTTGGAGTTGCCTGAGGACGAAGACCATGTCTGTAGTACCCCTGTTTGTTCTGAAGCTACACTGGTTTTCTGGGAGGTGGTCTTCTGCGATGGTAGGTATTAGCCTACTCAGGAGCACACGAGCAAGGAATTTTCCTGCGATCGAAAGCAGAGTGATCCCCCGGTAGTTGGAGCAGACTGACTTTTCCCCCTTGTTTTTGTACAAGGTAACGATGACTGCATCACGGAGGTCTCTTGGAAGCTTTCCTTGTTTCCAACAACAGACGAGGAATTCGTGGAGCTTTCTCTGTAACGCTGGGCCTCCATCTTTCCAGATCTCTGGTGGGATGCCATCAACTCCTGCTGCCTTACCACTCTTAATCTTGTCTATGGCTTCTGTGAGTTCTTTCATAGAGGGTGGTTCGTCCAATTCCACTATAACTGGGAGCTGAGCGATGCGGAGGGTTTCTGAGTCCTGAACGACTCGATCAGCGCTGAAGAGGGCGTGGAAGTGCTCACACCAGCGACTCAGGATAGACGCCTTCGTGAGGAGCGCCTCGCCGTCCGCACTGCGCAAAGGACTCTGGGCGTGGTGCGTAGGGCCGTACACTGCCTTAAGGGCTTCGTAGAAACCTCTGTAGTCACCAGCGTCTGCGCATTGCTGAGTTCGTTCTGCGAGGTTGATCCACCACTCGTTCTTAATCTCTCGAAGCTTGCGCTGGAGGTTGCTGCAAGTGTAACGGAAGGCAGCTTTCCTCACGGGACAGGACGGCTGAGCAAGGTGAGCCTGGTGGGCTGATCTCTTCTTAGCCAGCAATTCCGTGATCTCCTTGTTGTGTTCGTCAAACCAGTCTTTGTTCTTTTTAGTGGTGAACCCCAGGAATTCGTCTGATGTCTGCAGTATGGCTCTTTTCAATTGAAGCCAAAGTGAGTCAGGTGAAGGATCTACTGAGCAGCCTTCGTTTTCAAGCTTGAACTGCAAGCACGTCTGGAAGTCAGCTCTCACTACAGCTGATTGTAGCCTACTGACATTGAACATTTTCTTTGCCCCCCCCCTTTCTTGGTTTAGGTTTGAAGTGAAGTCTGAGTTTGAAGCGCACGAGGCGATGGTCAGTGTGACATTCTGCGCTGGGCATCACTCTGGTGTGTAAGACGTCTTGGAGGTCTCGTTGGCGCACTACAACGTAGTCAATAAGGTGCCAGTGTTTGGACCGAGGATGTATCCAGTTTGTTTTCAGACTGCTCTTTTGTTGGAAGATGGTGTTGGTGACTACAAGTTTCTGCTCCATGCAAAACTCCAGCAGCAAGCGCCCGTTGTCGTTGCAGTTACCAACGCCATGTCTGCCAAGCACTCCTTTCCAGGCAAGAGCGTCTTGTCCCACTCTGGCGTTGAAGTCGCCAAGGATTATCACCTTATCGTCTACGGAGGTGTTTCGAAGAACTGAGTAGAACTTGTCTTTTTCTTCAGGCACAGCTTGAAGAGTTGGGGCATACACGCTGAAGAGCGTGGCATACTTTTTGTTCTTCAGAGGGAGGCGCATGGACATGATGCGGTCAGAATGACCAGTTGGCAGGTTTTCCAACTTGGAAGCGATGGAGGTTGTAACCATGAAGCCGACGCCTGCGAAACGCCTTTCTGTTGCAGGTTTTCCTGACTAGAAGAGGGTATATCCGGTGCCATGCTCCTGAAGGCTGCCTTCTTCGGGGAAGCGAACTTCGCTGAGGGCAGCAATGTCGACATCTAGCCTGGACAGTTCATGTGCAATCAAAGCAGAGCGAAGTTCAGGTCTGTTGCTGTCAGCTTTGTCAAGCATGGTTCTGATGTTCCAACATGCCAGTTTCAGTGCTTTTGCACCCATACCGGTGGGTGCATACCTTCCTTTCTTTGTTGTTGTTCGACCGCTAGTAAAGATGCCCGTTGACCACGGCAAGCCAACTGAGGGGATGAGAGATGAGCTTTGGTTAGGCCACCTTTTCTAGGCCCCTCTCCTTGTGGAGCAATCAGTGCTGTCCTTAAAAAGGGCTGCTTGGTCGTTCGGGGTGCTGCCGAGTGATGTTGTCATCTCGAGTCAACGTCAGACGACCAATATCCCGAACCGCCTGCATGCAGGATTGAGACTGCGGCTTCCAGTGACATCTTTCACCTGCCGGTTTCGCCCATTTCCCATCGCTACAGGACTTGGTAGAGTTGAAGGCGTCGCAGACGTGAACGTATCCTTCGAGCCTGCGCAGATGAATTTTAAAGTGAAGTGCAGTGTGCGCAGTACTGCCCCCACCCTTTACACCCGGGTTCATCTGTCATGGCCTAGCGAGCTGCGACGGTGACAGCGAGATCCACGGGTCGTAGGTTTTACATCAGACTGCCCTTGTCCTAGCCTCTGGCTCAAAAACCTACCTCGGAGGCACGAGGACATAATGGCCGTTGAGCTCGTCGTGGAGCCCTTCCGCCCTGGCCGGTGACCACAGAGAAGCTCGCTGCATTTTGCCGAAACTGAAGCCGATTTGACTATCAGAACCGCCAGTGTTAGCACTCTAGTAGCTCATCCGCCCAGCCGTGACCCTGGCAAGGGAGGCAAAGGGTATACTAGCACTTGCCTAAGGTGCACACCCAAGGCTAGTGGAGGGAAGGAGGCGCCTTACGGCTCCATTCTAGACTGGCTCCAAGCAAAGTCTAGCCACTGCCCAAAAGTGTAAATATAAACCTGTAAATATAAACCTTAGTGTAAATATAAACCTTTAAATTTCAAAGTGTAAATATAAACCTGTACATTGTTTGTACAGGTTTATATTTACACTTTGAAATTTAAAATTGTTTATGATTTCACATTTAATTAATTTATTTATTTTATTTATTTCCACTTCATTTGCATTAAATATATGCAAGTTTTCCTATCTATTTCTGTTTCTTCTGCCTTCAACTCCATTGCAACCAATGCACCCAGTGTGAATCCTGGAACACCTAAAATTATAGCAAGGGTGGACTGTTTTCAGATGAGGCGTTGCTATACTAAAACTTTCATGCACAAAGTAATAAGCTTTTCTCGAATAAAAATTTGAAGATAGAAACAAATGTTGGCCCAGTATTTTCCAAAGCAGTTCTTTTACTTTGGTTTTGATCTATGAACATGTTTACTATTACAATACATACTTTATTTACAGAAACATCAGGGTCATTGTGAAACAAGCAGCATCGAGCAAACCTTTGACAATACTTAATGTCTTTACTGTTTGTAATCTGTCAATTTTCGCAGAACAGGCTAGGGGTTGATTTCAAGATATTTTTGTTTTACAATATATAGCACAGTGTTGCTGAATACTGATGGCAAATCAATTTCAACACAACTCAGTTTTTAACTTCACATCATACTTTCTGAAAAATAATATGAACAGACCCTAATCCATTTCCTGCGACTAAACAGCCCAAACTCGATTCATAAAAGGTAGATTTTATTGATTGGTTTGATGCAAGATATGTACATCTCTAAAAGTTTCACAGCGTCTGACATGTATTTACCTAAAATCATGAATCGTGAATAAAATCGAACCAACATCAACTAAAGCATAACGTAATGGTAAAAAGTTTCACCAAATAAATGCCATCCCACTGAGAGTATAGTAAAACAAATTAATAAGACTGAAGTGTTGAACACTTTGAACGATGAAAGCAATTATCTTGCTTACCTACCGGTCTCATGAAACTATTAAAATTTTTTCTTTTCCTTGCACTTCTTTCCGCAACCGTATATCACACACGTTTTCAGCATGTTTTATTGATGAAATTTTTAAAAGATTTTGCGTTTGGAATAATACTTTTGATATCGCTGAATAAATATTTTCGCATAGGATTATAGTGTTGGTTGAAATCAGGAGGGGAGAAAAAGTATCCTTTTCATTAGCCTGTGCAACTCCGCTGACATTTTCATTCAAAATTTGCCATATAAGGTATGGCGGCATCCATGTTTCGTCAACACGTTGCGCTTAATAACTCTATTATATAATAACCAGAAGAATTTGAGCGATTTCATTGGTCGAGAGCTATGATCTCTAAAAGGACATATGCACGGAATTGACGTCACAGAAAATTTCATGTTTATAAAAAGAAACAAAGGGCGGATAAATTTGAAAATTTATCGCAATACCTCCCTGATTGGGAAAATAGAGATATTCACAGGCACTTAACGTATTTGAGCAAAAAGAAAAGAAAAAACGGGTTTTCAAACATTAATTTGTACTTCGTCTTCGATAGTATGCATGTCAGTGGTCCGTCCGTGTGAATGTTGGTGGCAATCCTCGTTGATAGTCGGAAAATTAGATAATCCTGTCATAACAAAAGCCTTTAACTGGATATCGTTCAAAACAGTAAAAAATCTTGTCAAACATTTTAACAGCCTAACCTGAACAATTAATTTCTGGAATTTAGTACAGTGAATTCTGAGGGGCTGTTTACATGATGTCGGGTAGCCGGGTTTCAGTCAAGCGTTAAATGATTTTGGCAAATGGAAAAGATTTAATACTATCATCAGATAAGTGTTCTTCAGCACTTTCACAATATTCTGATTTAATAACTATACGCATTACATTCAAAATCAAACAACAAATTTGGCCTATTTTGAGAATAACAACAGAAATTACTTTTAGCGCTTAACAAACAGTTGTAATATTTTCGCTTAAAGTTTTGCCTCTTTTCAATGCATCGAAATGATTTTACGTCTCACTGAATCCCGGTTAGCCGTGATCATGTAAACAGCCCCTGAGAGGCTGTTCACATGAACCTGATAACCGGGATTCAGCGATGCGTGAAATGATTTAGAGTCACTGAAAGGAGCAAAAACCTCTAGCGCAAAACTTACAATCTTTTCTTCAGCGTCATAAGTCATGTCTTATTTGTAATTTTCAAATCAAGCTAAATTATTTGTTTTTATCTTAAAGGTTTTGTGAATTTTCAAAGAGCATAGTGTTTTTTTATGAAGTATTTAGTCTTTCCTGCTAGCAAAATGATTCGCTGAATCCCGGCTACTGGGCTCAGCACCTTAGACATTTGTACGTACATGCAAATGGTATCTTCTAATCCAGAAACAAGACTGCTATTCATCAGGTTTCATGCTGCACTATTATAAGAAGCAGTATAGTTGGCGTAAAGTTCAACGAAACACAGCGTCCATTTTTATTCAAGTCAATGTGACTTACTGAGTGATAAGAGAGATGGTATTTCTGTTTTGACTATCAATGAGGGTGTCCGAAAACCAAAACTTTTTTAGTCAAGCCAAATCAGTGGACGATTTGGACCGATCTGGAACACGGAATGATCCTGAACGATACAAGTGGAGGGGAAGTGGGGTTACCGAGAAACTAATAAAATTGCTATCATGTAATTTCTTCATTCGGATGTTTTTCATGGTGATTAGCTCGACGAATTTGAATTTTGGAAAAGCTAGTGTTTACGTTTACATTTTAAGTCACCATGCTTTTTAAATTGAATAGTTGATGATTTTCATAAAGCAAAAGTATTTTACTTTTTACCTTGAAGAATTAACGATGACGTTATGATGACGTGTACGACATTTCCTGTCTTGTATGCCAAGCAATCACCTCGCGTACCGCACGACTCTCGCCACAACAAGCACGACTTATCAATAAATGAGCCGAATACTACTGGAGCAGGTAAGCTTCCAACGGCTCGCCATAATACCAGTTGAAGACCGAGGGCATAAGAGCGTTGATTTTCGGATACACTTCTATATAGTATATTTTTAAGATTAATGAATAACGGACTCTAGATTAAACATTAGATAGATTTAGATTTGAGAACACGATGTCAAAGACGACGTGAGTTGACCAAGGCGGTCTGGGTCTAAGACACCGTCGTCTTTCATGCGAAGAGTGATTTGGATTATATGAGAAGACGAGTTTTTAAATCTGTTTATCAACACATGTTTTTAATGAAATACATTAGTATAGGGAATAGTACAGTTTCCAGTGCAATTACGGATAAACATGCACAAGTTAGTTTTTTAAAGACTGCAACGAAATAGAGCGAGTCCGAAGTACCAGTCTCGCCGCTCTCGCATCGTTACTCGCTAACGCTTCAGGAAAGCTTCGTCAGGCGGCCTAGATGTTAAAAACATTCACCAAAAAACAGTACGTGCTGTTTTGTTTTTATTCATTGCATTCTTTTGTAATTTTTGAATTTTTAACGGTTGCAATTGTGGTAATCTTTGTTTACTAACAACTGCCGTAATGCTTTTTTTTAATTGAAAAAATGTTGTTTGTATTTGCACTGCTTTTCAACCAATCAGGTTACAGTATTTATAGAGCAACTACACTTTTCTACTGTGCACTTACGCATTTTCACAGTGCAATTGCAGATATAAACCGCAATATCAACCAACCACAGTCGAAATATCTCAAATTTTATTATTACTGCGAAAACACAAAAAAATTACATCATTACTAAAAAAGGGTAAAATTTGTGGCAAATTGGAAATGAACACTTTGATTTGGAGCCATGATAAAATAAACGTCAGTAAAAACATGAGACAACTGGTCATAAAAATATTTTACTGAAGTACAATATTTCCTCTGTCACACCCCGAGTTTTATTACTTTTTGCCAGTCTTTAAGTGATGTATTATTACAAAAGTGGGGTTGGCTAGAATAAAGCTGGAAGCTACATAAATTGTTACGCAAAATTGTTCGTGTTTATATTAATTTACGTGACACATGCTTTAATATCAATTTCTATTTATTAAAACACCCAATCCAGTAAGTTCATTTTGAAAATTTTTAAAGTTTTAGTTAAATATGGCTGAAAACGGGTTAAGGAGGAAGGTATGCGGAATGTATTCTATTGTATGCCAGCAAAAACAATGTCAAATACTTGAAATAACAAATAATGATTGAGAATGAAAATATGAAAATTCAATCTCTGCCACGAAGATTTGTTAATTTATGCAAAATTGGCATTTGACCATAGCTGGTGTATGGTAATTTTCTAAGTAAATATTAAACTTATGTAAATTTTTCCTCCAATGTCCACCAGTAAAAGTGAACCTTCTAAACACCATAAACATTACAGAATTTTTATTGCTATGTTTTCTGGAAGTTAGAGCTATGTCGACACTGCCGTTTCAGGGGGGTCTCAATTTCAGGACTTTCATCCCGGATTGAGCAAATGGCACATATGCCATGTTGTTCGGCATGGTCATTTTACCCAAAAACAGTTGAGATAACTTCCGGTAAATGAAATGCATGCAAACTCTCATACAAGCCCTAGACTATTTTAGACTAGTAAATTTCAAACGAATGACCGCGCCTACATCAACAAATAACGAAAGACAGGCATTCCTATTTTGTTATCGTTTCATCGTTCCATTCTGTCCGTAAATTTCTATTTACAGAAAGTGAGGGATAAACAGAGGGTGAGGTGATTAATTTTTTGTACCTTTTAAGAGGGGATAGTTAGAGGAGATGCAAAATGAAGCCGGGTCAAAATAGAGGAAATACGGTATGTTAAATTTGTATGATAAAACATCATATAGCTCCTGATCAGCAAAATGGACTACCTATGCTAGTTTCAATATTTAGCAACCGGTGTTGTAGACAGGCCCAGCAAGTTTGTTGTGCTATGTAAATCAATCTGTGCATGTTAGCTCATTGTAAAAGCAATAGTTTTATAATAAGTATTTATGTTATTGATAAGAAATTTCAGTGAACACCGAAATACTGTTTACATAGCATGACTAAACCTGCGAGCTGGCTACACCACAGCAGGCAAACTCGGACAAGTACAGTTTACTTATCCTTATTGTGGCACTTTACCTTATTGTGACAACTTTTCCAGGAATGTCATTGAGGTAACTTAAAGTAAGGAGTAAAGTAAAACCAACAAAAAAAGTGTAGACATTCTTACAGTTTCGATCACAAACACCGAGGTTCATTTGGAACACTTCATTAGAACCAGAGTAATTGCCAAGAGTACAATTCGAGTAGGTCTGTTAAAAAAGGTTTTGATTCGTCAAGAGAGGAAGTGCTTGATGGAATTGAAAGAATTCGAGCACTTGAGCAATCAAAGAAACTCTGAAAAAATATGATTATTCTACTCCTGTTACTAGTTCTTAATCAGTTTTTGAAGAAACTCTTTCAAACGATCAAGTTCGCCAAAGTGCAATAATATTACATATAACGTAAATGGTTTGAACCCGGGAGTATCGTTACATGTTTGTAAATGTAGATCGTCCAGGTTGGTATAGTCCTGAGAAGGACTGTTTTTGTTGTTGTTGACTGACGTTTCGACAACCTTAGCGGTAGTCATCTTCAGAGTCAAATGAGGAGTAAACGTCAGGTTAGCCGTATTTGTTATCTGGTTCTACGTCATTGTATTGTGTGTACAGGAAATGCGTATTGTCATTGTGAATTAGTGTGAAGCGAAATATTTTTAGTTGTGAAGTGTGATTTAGGTGTGATGTTTTTAGTTGTAATGTGTGGGTGTCAATTGTGTATTGTCATTGTGAATTAATTGATTAATTCATTAATTTTAGTTGATCGTTTGTTTGTATTGTGAACAAGTCGTTTTTTAAGGTGCCGGTAATTGCTTTGATCTGTTCAGGGGGGTTTGTTCCAAGTTGGTATACCAACTTTCTAATGTAAGCCGTTGTCTATAGTCAGTACTGTAAGTAATGCATTTTGCCGAGTCCCAGTCAATGTTGTGCTTTGTGATTCGGTGATGTTCGGCAATGTGATTAGTTTTGTCTTGTTTCTTAGTAGCTCGTTTGTGTTCAGTAAGTCTTATGTTTAAGTTTCTTCCAGTTTCCCCGATATAAGAGGCGTGGCAGTCGGAGCAGTTTATTTTGTAAACTGCACCTTGTCTTTCGTTGGGTTGTTCTTTGTCCTTTATGTTCTTTAGTACTTGTCGTAACGTTGTAATTGGTTTATTAGTTACGACAAGTACTAACGAACATAAAGGACAAAGAACAACCCAACGAACGACAAGGTGCAGTTTACAAAATAAACTGCTCCGACTACCACGCCATAATTAAAAATACATATAAATAAAATAAACACTATTATATAAAGATATATGTCGACAGTCAAATGAGAAGAAAATGACCCTGGCAATGACATCGTTAACCAATTCGTCCACAAAGAAATTATCAAACAAAATGATTAAAATATTATTCTTAAACTACTATATAAATGGGGTGATTTGGTTTAGAGTCATATAGCCAACAATACCAGTACATACTTTTACTAGATTTTCAACATTTTGGAATGGTTTGGATTGGAAGAATAGAAAGCTGTTCCAAACTATAATCATCACACCACAAATAAGAAAACTACAATTGTTTTAGTGACTGTCTTGGAAAGTGAAAGGAATGTCTGTTTTTCTCGCAAAAACAACACGGTCAAACAGAATATAGCCTTTTATTTACGGTATTTCTAACATTATGGTTCGAACGGAGTCTTTAATTAACACCATATGCACTATATAAATGTAACAAAACTCGCTAAAACTCACCATTGACGTTGTCTTTTGATGAGGACAGCCGGCATGACAAGCTGAGTAAAACGTAATGTTATCATGACATACTGGAACATATTTCACCCCGTCACATTTGCAGGAACTGGAAAGAAGAAAGTATATTAACACTTTGATGCATAATTTTTTTCTGGATCAAGGCCCATCGTGTTTGTTGATTGTTGCTGTGGGAGCAACACCTTGCAGCAAAGGTTGATAACAGAAAAAACACTACGGAAACATACATTTGATTTATAGAGAAAAAAAACTATTGCAGGGGATGCCAGCAGAATAGCTGTGCAACTTTTTTGTTTAGATTTGGTCTCGAGAGCTTGGACTCTCTCACCTATTTTATTGAGGCGCAAAGTTCAGAACAAAGGCAAGTGTTTAAAAGCTCAGTCGATGGAGTCTAGTAAAAAAAATTGCATGCGTATATGAGCATAATGGATAAAAGCTTTCTGGATGAAGTTACTGAAAAACGGCAATTGTTGAAACTCTAAAGACCAAAGATTGAAAATGGTCAATCGCCGCAATTTTTTGTAAAAGTGCAATTCCTTCTTCATGATTCCATGCGAGAATTAGTCTGGAAAACGCATTGAAAAGCTCGCTCACATTCACACAGTCGGGTGATGTAATTCATACAGATGTGGCTAGGGACGCGTCCATTGTGTTGAACTTTCAATTGCCCGCATTGTCACAACAGTGGCAGACGTGGCGTAGGTCAAAAGAAAATTTAAGTGTTCAATTTAAATTTAAAATAACTCTCGGAACAAAAATATTGGTCACGAATTTCTAAAGTTTTTGTAATGAAGTTTCCTTAGTTAGTTGATTCACATGTTTGTAAATGTAGATCGTCCAGGTTAGTATAGTCCTGACAAGGACTGTTTTTGTTGTTGTTCACTGACGTTTCGACAACCTTAGCGGTAGTCATCTTCAGAGTCAAATGAGGAGTAAACGTCAGGTTAGCCGTATTTGTTATCTAGTTCTTACGTCATTGTATTGTGTGTACAGAAAATGTGTGGGTGTCATTCGTGTATTGTTATCGTGGATTAGTGTGAAGTGTAATGTTTTAAGTTGATTAGTGTGAAGTGTAATATTTAGGTGCCGGTAATTGTGTGATCTGTTCAGGGTTGTTCTAAGTTGGTATACCAACTTTATAATGTCGTTGTATAGCCGTTGTCTATAGTCAGTGATGTAAGTAATGCATTTTACCTAGTCCTAGTTAATGTTGTGCTTTGTCGGTCGATGATGTTCGGCAATGTGATTAGTTTTGTCTTGTTTCTTTGTAGCTCGTTTGTGTTCAGTAAGTCTTTGATGTAAGGTATCGTTGCTGTTCACGTTTAGTTGCTCGTTTCGTTGGGTTCATTGTGTTTCTAAGTGTTGCGTTTGATAAAGTCAGAGTTATAGTTGTTTTTGTCAAAAACAAGTTGAGATAGTTGTTTTCGTTGTGTAGAGCGTCGGGTAAATCACATATGCTATAGAGAAACGGGCGCTCACGACTTACAAACATGCACTACCTTTTTGGTTCCGCTACGTAGATGACACAATCACAGCACTACATGCAGACAAGATTGATGACTTTCACACTCACATCAACAAACAGAACAGCCACATACAATTTACCAAAGATGTCGAAGAAAACGGAACTCTTCATTTTCTCGACTGTTTGGTAAAACATGACAACCAAAAACTACGAACAACAGTTTATCGCAAGCCAACACATACTGACCGACTACTAGACCAATCATCATACAACCTTACATCACACAAAGCCACCACAATCAGAACATTAACAAGACGTGCTCAAATCATATGTGATTCACCGGACGCTCTACACAACGAAAAGAACTATCTCAAATAGTAGCGAGAGACTTGCCGAGCGGAAATCAAATTCGTGTAATAAAAATTAATGCGCAACATGAAGTGTTAATTAGAGCATTAAATTAATTAGTTTTAATTGAATTTATTGTAACGTTTCGTCTTTACTCAAGACATCTTCAGAAAAATAATAAATAGGATATTAAGACAAGATATTATATTTACAAAAAGGTGTTCAATAAATTACTAAAGGAGGCGGTGTCAAATGGATTATATGATAAGGAAGTTAGGAAGTAAAATAAACCTCTTTTAATTTCTCTTTATTTTACTTCCTAACTTCCTTATCATATAATCCATTTGACACCGCCTCCTTTAGTAGTAATTTAACACCTTTTTGTAAATATAATATCTTGTCTTAACATCCTATTTATTATTTGTCTGAAGATGTCTTGAGTAAAGACGAAACGTTACAATAAATTCAATTTTACAATTTTTTGGTCTATTTCTATGGCTCTAATTAAAACTTTATGTTGACCATTAATTTTTATCACACGGATATCTCAAATTTGTTTTTGACAAAAACAACTATAACTCTGATTTTATCAAGCGCAACACAACGCTACAACAAGTACTAACGAACATAAAGGACAAAGAACAACCCAACGAACGACAAGTTTACAAAATAAACTGCTCCGACTGCCACGCCTCCTATATCGGGGAAACTGGAAGGAACTTAAACATAAGATTTACTGAACAAAACGAGCTTCAAAGAAACAAGACAAACTAATCACACTGCCGAACATCACCGAATCACAAAGAACAACATTGACTGGGACTCGGCAAAATGCATTACTTACAGTACTGAGTATAGACAACGGCTTACATTAGAAAGTTGGTATACCAACTTGGAACAAACCCCCCCTGAACTGATCACAGCAATTCCGGCACCTTACAAACGACTTATTCATAATACAAAGAAACGATCAACTAAAAGCATTACACTTCACACGAATCAACGATGACAATACACAATTGACACCCACATATTTCCTGTACACACAATACAATGACGTAAGAACCAGAATAAATACGCCAAACCTGACGTTTACTCCTGATTTAACTCTGAATATGACTACCGCTATGGTTGTCGAAACGTTAGTCAACAACAACAAAAACAGTCCTTCTCAAAACTATACCAACCTGGGCGATCTACATCAATGTAACATTTAACCATACTACCGGGTTCAAACCATTTGCTTTACTAGTTGATTTTGTTTTTTGAGAATGTAAATATACGCAAAGTAAGCCATGGTAATTCAACTTAACGCACCCTAGATCCGCCACTGAAACACAATAACAAAGCCATGTGAACTTCGGTCTACATATAAGCTCTGGTCTTATAAAAGGTTTAACATTGGTATACCTTGTCATCCTGACATCAGGAACTTTGATATCGTCACATCCAGGAACCAAAAACATGAACGTCATCCACATTCCAAAAAGTTGCAAAAAGAAACAGTACTTCGCCGCGACTTTACAACTTCTTTTTAGCTCCACTTTGCTCCCAAAACATGAACCTATAACAAAAATTATATTTCACGACTAAAATCGTTATGTATACAATTCGACTCGTGTCATGACCAAAAATCTAAACATGAAAAACGAGCCGTTATAGAGTATACTTAAGTAGTGATCTGATGTGCAAAATTAAATCCTGGTTTACTCCAGTCTAGTGTCTACATCAGGAGTAATATGATGTTGAGACTTGAGACCTTATGTACTACAGTCGACATTTTTCATCTTGAGTTCATATATACTCCAGTGTCTTCACCAGGAGTGATCTGATGTTGAAACTTTGGTTTTTGTATCTTGTAATCTAAAAACTTTATCTATAATGATCTGATCTTAATGACATAGTTCTAATCTATCCTAATCTACAGTTTTTATACAAAGAGTTTCATATAAAGACAGAATTCTACTGCCACTATAAAAACATAACCCCAATAGGATGCTACCAACCTATTAATGTCCCGCAAGCACTACTGATGCCCACAATCATTCCGACGCCCAAGCCTGCTAGTGCCTGAGTTGCACCGTAATGAATTCTGATGAGCTTATACAGAAACGGACCTACACCTGAGCCGAGAACGACCCTGAAAGAAATAAAAGTAGAATTGAAATATGCATTCTTGAGGAAGCTTTTTGTTCTCCGTTCCCATGGAAAAAATTGAAGCGGGAAGTTGCTTCACTTGCACACGTGTTTTCGGTCCCATTTAAATCATGAAAAGTCATTGTTTTATACAGTCCAACACTTTTTTATTCCCGAATGATACAGAAAAACTTCCATGAAATGGAAAAAATCAAAGACATCATTTAAACTGAAGTATTAAAAAAGTGAAACCGCTAAAACGTATACAAATTAGTCAATTTTCGGCTTCAATTTTTACACCAGATGCGCCATCCAGTCTGATATACATGTAGGGTGTCCCCGCAAAAAGAAACCCACATTAATGAATTTTATGTTCACTGAAATCAATGTAACTAGCATTCATAATGAAACAACAACGTAACTAGCATTCACAACAGTTCAATGAACGTGACAATTCTGTGCCCCTGAGATTTCATACGGTGGTTTATACAGTTTTAGTTAAAGCAAAACAAGTTAAAAGTACTGACATCATACACTGATTTTCATCTCAAATTTATTACCCAAAAGCATTGTAAAATCAAAACGACAGTAACTGAGTTAAAAAGGCCAAAAAAATGAAATCATGTTTTCCCTCAATTGTAAGCAAACATGGATATACTGGTAAGTAAATAAATTAATCAGGCAGAACATAGCTATTGCAAACTAATCTTTATAATTATTTGTGTGGGCTCCGTTTTTGGATCCACCCTGTATGTATCACAAACCATGCCTTCACTTACTGAGCCCAGACACCTAACGACTGAAACACATAAACTGGATTAGAAAGGAGTCTCTTCGTCGCAGGTATTATATCCTTCACTTTGCCGCGAATATCTTGGTCACGTGCAGGAATCTCTTTGTTCATAATCGCCTTCTCACGTTGAGCACGTACGTGCGGCAGTTGCCTGGGAAACCCAATAATGACAAGAGACATTGGAAATATGACGAAAGCGCCAACTAATGAGCCTATCCACCAGTTGCCGATCCAACGCGGGTCCATTGGGGTGAGTTTAAAACCATCCGGCTGAAACAAATAAAGTTTGTACTTGCTGTCGACGTATTTGACGCGAAAAAAGGGATAAGCAGTGACGTAAGCAGTGACGTAAACAGTGACGTAGCAGTGACATAGCCAGTCCGAAGCCGCACACCCTTGGTCTGCATAAAAACACCTTTGTCTGATGTTTCTCGATAAAGGCACCGAGCTTGGCAGCTCACTTTATAGAAGAAAAGGTTGCATGACCCCACATACGTCACATCCGTATCAGCTTTTGTGTCAATTCACTGCAACATCCAAAATTTGTTCATTTTGTTATTTTGAAATGGCTAACACAATAAGTTCAATGTGAAACGAAATGAAACTTATGGAAGCAACGAGCATCGCTTTTCTACCACGCTGGTTATACACGGTTGAGTACGCACAGGTCTTTATATTTTACAACTTTGGTTATTAGCGGCGAGATAACAATTACAAACAGTTGCCCCAACCACTTTTTCAATGAGAGGAAAAGCGCAAACCTTTTCGACATGCAGAAATTAGCAAGCGAGCCAAGTTGTTACTTTATATATATCACTTCTTGAACATCACACTCTTTGTATTAACCATTTTGAAATCATAAAGTGAATAAATTTTGTATAACGCAAATAATTTATCCAACAGTTTAAAGGGGAGTGACGTATGGGTGGTCAAGCTTTTCTTCAATATTGCATAGACCAGGCAGCAGTACGGTCTTTAACGTAATTTACATGGACTCTTTCACACTTTTGTATGACACTTTTTCACAGTTTCACACTTTTGTATGACTGTTTTAAAATAGCTCATACTTATTTACGACAGGTATACAACGACGCAGACGTATGACGTCATTTCATAGTAAAGGTACGTTTACACACAACAATTTGTCTGGCCGTCACTGATGCGATATTACGTGCTCTTGCTATATTTGGAAAGTCGCCCGACTTGAAAACTATGATGAAAATCTGTAACCAACTACAGATTTGTTCCCGATTTTTATTACGTTGCTACGGCTTCAGAAACAAGCAAATTATAATAATCCAAAAATAATGATCAAAGTGTCTTCTGTCAACACGGAAAATAAAAATGTTGAGAGTGTTGTTGTTTTTATCGAAAACCAAAAACTGCAGAGATTCAGAAAAAAAATCAAAATTATTTTCTGAAAAAGAAATACGGCATATTTACCTCGATTGGCACTTTACCCACACTGATCTATATTTTCTTTTCTACTTTATTTTTTGAGGCAATAATAATAACACACGTTGCCTCAGTAGCTACAATGAAAAGTTTTATTTTCGCTTTGTTATTGTTCTTTGACCTGTTTGTTTTCTTTTTTGGTTTTCGAAATCATGTAAAAGCATCGGAAATACCTTTTTTGCACACAGCGATTTGTCTTACACGACAAATTTTCCATATATAGCAAGAATTGCGTAATATGGCGTCAGTGTCGGTCAAACGAATCGTTGTGTGGAAACGTACCTTAAAGAATTCGAAAATATTTTGGACTTTTTAGTGAATTTTGTAAGTGTTCCACATTTTCTGTTCACGGCTAAAAGGCTTTTTTCTCACGTACCTGTTCTATGTCGACGTACAAACTCAACAACTGGCCGGCAATCACGAAGCCGACACTCGGTCCCAAAAAACCAGATACATAGTACAAAGCGATAAATAGTGACGTATATTTGGGTTTGACGTTTTCGTCTAGGTATGCAATACACAGACTGAACATTGGAGCACCACCTGCGCCTGCCATGACTTGAGCTAGCAGAAATACGATGTAGTACGACCATGTAAACGATATCTTTTCCATGTTGTGGCATTTTGAAGTCGTGTTGTATTTTGGACAGAATTGCAAGGAAGCCACCGCTGAAATGAAAACGGTAAACAATTGAAGCGTACACAAGCTTGTTAAACTTTTTTCTACACATGTTGCCGCATAGCAACAATGATGAACACAGTGCACTTCAAAAAACAAAAAAATTCATGCGGGAAAGAGTTAATGTACAATTTTTGCTACCATATTAGTGATAGAGCATAAAGTTAGAAAAGAACAATTCCTATTCTTCTTTTCAAGCTAAAATTGCACCGATGGTCCCATCTAAAGAAAAAGGACAGAAAAACCAGTCCTATTCACAATACACCAAAATCCATAACAACGCATTCCAAATCATTCAATCATCTCAATCCATCCATCATTCCAATAACACGCTTTAAACAACTACAAATTAAATAAACTTGTAAATAACTTCCTATACTATTCTGAAGAAAGCTCAAAGCACCGAGTCGAAAGCTCAATAAAATAATTTTATGAAAATCCGGAGAAACTTTCATTTTTTTACGTAAGAACTTATATTTAAAAGAAATTTTACATATGTGTAACGTTACGACTTAACCAACCACACATCACATCCTGAAAAAATATTTTATATAGGTAGTGTTTGTAAATAGCTTTTTTGCCCTTTCTATCTTTTTTGTAAATTTCTATTCTATGCATCCATTGTGGAAATTAGCAAAGGTTGATGAAGCGAGCGTATTAAAATATACTCATCTTATCTAAATTTAATCTCATAACATTGTGCTAAAGCCAAAATTTATTAAAAAAGGATCATTATTAAATATTAAACGCGACTTCACCAGTTTGGTTTCTTACAATGAAATTCATGACCGGTTGACCATGGTTAACAACGTTTTAACATCAAATCACTCCTGATGAAGACATCAGACTGGAGTATATAAGAACTCAAGTTTCAACATCAGATCACTCCCGATGAAAACACTAAACTGGAGTATATATGGACTCAATCGTGAACATCCGAACACTCCTTATGAAGACATTAGATTAGAGTTTATAATGACTAAAGATTCGATATCAGATGAATTTTGATGAGGACTCCTGATAGAAAAGTATATGGACTCAAGTGTAATTGTGAAATTATTCTCTATGAGGAAGACAGGAGTAAAGGTATATAAATGGAATTTAAGAACTTTAAACAAAATTCAACAGGAATAAAAATGAAAAATTTAAATAATTTACCTTCGGGGGGATCGTATCTACCAATCAAAAAGTGCGGAAAAGAAAATGTAACCAACGAGAATCCAATAAGGATCATTGAAAAGCCAATCCACCTCGGTTTGTTACCGAAAGAACCGTAAAAACTGACAATGACTGTTAGAACCATGTTGGAAACATCGCTGACTGAAGACAATGCTCCTGTTTGTTTACTGTTGAAATGAAACTGCTTCTCAAGTGATGGTATAGCAGCAAAATTAAAGCCATTGACCGTCACACCTTTTGAAAAGATAATTCTGCAGTTAGTTATTCGCATACATCAAAGTTTACAAATAACATGTAAAAACAAAGACCCATGCGCATACAAAGGAGAGTGAAAACAAGGGAGTGTCGTTAATTGTTAATTGTAGAAATTTAGCTAATGCGTAAGCAAACACATCGCTCTTATCAAATTTGAGATGATTTAGATTTTCCCTATTTTTCTATTTACCTCATCAATTACGAACAAATGTTAACTTAAAATAGGGAAAATGTTAGTAATTGGTGAGGGTTTTAGAAAAATGGCAATCAAAAAGGAAGAACGCAAAATAATCCGTGATTTGAATGCCTATCGTTATTGTGCAGTAAACCCTACGTGCTCCAATTGCTTTCTAGCTTTGCTATTTTCATGCGAATACTATTTCAAAAGTGCTTCTCGGTAACACAATTATCACTCCAAAAATAGTTATTACTTGCAAAAATTTTACCAAGAAATGAACCATTGGAAGTCCAACTATCTATTCCACTAAAGGTTTTTGCAGATATTTTGGCGACGTTTTGTCTTAAAAGAATAGTATATGCATACCGTAAAAGATGTTACACAAGATGAGAACTATCAGTAGACCAGGAGAGGAATTAAGCCATTGCAAGCAACGGGGTCGGAAAGACCTCCATCCCCATCTTAAATCTTCTGCTCTTGCTGAATCATGAGATGAATTTAATACCTTCGACATCTTAATAAAATATACAGGTAATCTGTAGAAAATAGATTTTCTAAATTTTATACACAAATAAATATTGTTTGTGATTAGGTGTCAGTTAAAGAGAATATCCTCATATTTATTGCTGGCAGTTTACCAAGTGGGTATGTTACATGCTGTTGTTAATTGGTGACTATGGACGATATTTGTGGGACACTGACGTAATTTGCATCGATTATAACGTCTATAGTACCGTAATTCGATATGACTGTGTACTAAAATACTTGCGTTTATTGCAGTATCCAAGTAATCAGATTCCAATAACACTAAATTTAACAGTCCATGTTTGATTTTGCTGAATTTCTACATTTCTGTGAGAGAACGAGAATTTGATCTGAAGCCTGTCTTACGTTACATTTGTAAAGCATTAGCCTTGAGATGTAAATTGCGGATGTTGTAAACTCATGATGAAGCGATGCACATGGTGCACGTACGTACTGAACTTACAAAGTAATTCTCCCCACGCAAAAAATTAATTGAGTAGGATTAGTGGATGGCGGAAATACTATTTCATTGCAACGTTGTTTGCGCATAATCTTTAGAAATAAACGTTTGCACAATATATGTTTGATTACGTGTGTTCTAACATGACGATGAAAGCAAACACACAAGCGGAGAGAATGGTTTTAAAATATCTTACAAAAAAACTCACAAATGAGATGCAATGTCTTGTAGGCAAAATAAAAATGAAACACTCAAATGAAAATGAGCTTTTCAAATGTTTGGAAACCGAGTGAATAATAATCATACAGCCTTTGTCCGAGCTTAAATGCCAGCAAAGTGCTTGTTTCAACTCGTTTCGACAATCTTGCAGTCCTTCTGCAGGATTATTAGGAAAAATATCTTTATTGAAAAGCGTCTTTGAGTGTAATAGTTCGTTTTGAAAGTTCCTTTTCCCGATGAAGAACTGCACTCAGGATATGATAAAGCTAAAAATGCAACGCGGTGCCAAAACGAGCAAATACTATAACCTTCTATAGAAGTCATGGGCGTAGGCTCATATTTATGTATGCATGTTATAAATAACACTCCCCCTAATTATGGACACGCCCATATTCGAAGTAGATCTCTTTGTTTTGTGGCTGACATTCGAAATCCTTCAACTCAAGACACCACAGCATGTTCTATCAGTACAAATTTACCTGAAGATTCATTTAAGATTAAGAGGATGCTGCGTCCATTTCTTGAGAACAATTAAAAACTTAACATTAAAAACCAATCCATTTTATCTTTATGCAGTAGCATAGCCAGCAATGCAAACTTTTTACAACTAAAGCAATAGGTTTCTAAAAAAATGAATAGTTGGCTGGCTACACACTTTGTAATTGCATGCGAAACTACGAACCTTATCAGTTACACATTATACTAGCAATATACTAGTCGCCTTACATGCAACTATGGAAGTGACGGACTGTAAAAAAAATTTTTATCTCATGCTAAAAACAAGCTCGATCATTTAATTCCGGCAACTGTTGCTAATGATGAGCATAATTTGCATCATCACAGGAAACTGGAAATTCCTTTTATAAAGACACAACGTTTTCTGAAATCTTTTATCATATGAACAAGTAGCCATTTTATATAATGCATCACGGTATATTTTATACTTACCTATTTTGACTAAATACTTGCAAAGTTCACGCAATTTAACATTTATTGTTACGTGACCGTCAACAATCCATCAACCTATCTCGTAAAAATACATGCGAGCAGTCTGCCGCGTTTCGTGACTAGAAAAATGTCTTATATATATAAAAAAAGTTACCAAAGATTAAATTTCTCTATATTGTGAGATTTTGACGGGTAAAAAAACAAAATAACTTTGGAAGACATTGCTACAATTATCGTCCACTTTAATGAAAGAACTCAAGGTCGCATGAACAGTTACGTAAGATGAGTCGTTTAGCCGAAATACGATGTACTACACACTACCATAATGGATGTTAAAAGTTAAAATTTTATTTATTTTAGAATATTTGAAAGGCACAGTAGCACACCACAAACGTACCATGAAATTGTTTCACCAAGAGCGTAACTTTGAAATTTGGATAATTTGCAGGGAAAAAATGAAGTCAGCGTTGAAAGGAGGACAAAAGTCATAAAGTTTACCAACAACGCAGCGACAGCAATATATCATATGCGGCCAAAGGAACAGGCATTACGTAACATGCTTAAGACATTTCGACCTAAATGATTGTGCTCATTATATGTCTTAAACCTTGTACATTCAACCTTCGCATACATTTGCGTGTGGTCCACGTGGAGCGTGGTGAATCATTCATGCTCTAAACCCCATGTTACCTACTCGGAATGTGTGAAGAATGCCTACATACATCGAAGCAACACCTGCTAATGATACGACCTGTTCATTCTCGCTTTTAGCATCAAAACAATGCAGATAAGATAAAAACCCAGATGTTCAGGAACTGTTTGTCTCGCTTGCATTTTATTTAAATACGCCTCCTACCACAACATTTGCCTAAAGCGCGTCACAATGCAAACATTTCTAGCAGGAATCTTAAACGGCACAGCGTTCACGGTAGTTCATTCTAGCTTTACTTTTTCAAATTAATTTGTGACGCATTTACACATTAAACCCAAACTCGCAGCAGAAATAACTATACAATGGTGTGAAAAAGTACATTTCAAACTTTTTTTAATTGTTGGCTAATTGCGCGATTATTTTTAAAATACGCCATGTTAGCCACAAAAATTTGCATGATTCGCTTAACCTTGAGAAACACTTGTCACAAGTTCTCACAACAGTAGGGTTTTCACGATGTTTCACTTTAACTATAGTATACGAATATGAATGTTTGTGTATTCCATTGTCCACAGTAATAATAACAAGTAAAGTTTGAAAAAATGCACAAATTAAAATGTGCTGGAGCGTCACATTTTGAATATTGTATCACAGTAATTGGTCATAGCTCATTTTGCACTATCAATAAACGAATTACGTTCATCACACATTCTAATCACTCCATGAATTTATAGGTAATTAGCGAAATGAACTCATTGATAGTCACTTATGGCAAGGCAGCAGTAAATTCTAATCAACGCACGGCGTTTAATATACAAATAAACGGCACATATTTTAGTAGGGCATTTCGAGAATACTTCAATGATAAAATCCCATAATTGCCACTACGTCTGGCATACCTTTAAAGGAAAAAGCGATTATCGTCGCTGGGATGTTGATTATCTGGAGTAACCTTTGGTGAACTAGAACGAAAATGAAAAAAAATTAGGACTATCGAAGCAACGTAGGACGCTAAAACAGGGGCAAAATTTTCAAACATTTCTAGATCGAGCAAAAAAACAAAAACAAAAGTTAACAGCGATTACACTCGACGGGGGAAAGCCGAAAAACTGGGCTAAAGCAAAAAAATGTGAAAAATGCATGCAAACACAACACCAACCAAACAATATCACTTATACATTCAAGGCAGCAAAACAAGAATTGTTGGAAAAAATGAACGATTTTCACACGTAAAGTGATCCGCCATTGCTAAACCTTGGGTTTTTGAAAAACTCCAATACGAAAAGAAGGGGGGAAACAAGAAAACCAACAATAATTATTTTTCAACGAGAAATACTGTTTACGATATTAGACATGAAAAACACAAAGAAGATAGTACTTACATAGTCAACCAGCCCCCTAAACAACGACATTCAAATGGACCGAAGTTGAGTGATAGCAAATATTCATGACTTATTTGTGCATGATGGAGGGTTCAGTAAATATGGTTACATTAACGGTAAAAGGATACGACATCAGATAAGATGTCAACACCAGAGCATAAAATAATGGATAGCGGCAAGTTTTCCTTCCGTCTACCGAGAATTTCAACCTTTGCAAAAAGCACCCATCCAACCTTACAAGCAATGAGGATATGAACGACTGTGTTGTACATGGCAATCACAACATGCTTGAATGTACTTGAACGTATAAACAGCTTCTGGACCCCCCGCCAATCGATATGCTAATGTGCATATCGAACATTTAATAAGTTGATAGCACCAATATGTAAACATGCGGATACAAACAGTTGTGAAATTGACGACACACAGCCGCAATACGAGTCATAATTAGCCGTGGTGTTCGTCACACGTGTAATACACACAAATACCACGCACGGTCTAAAGCATTGTTAGAATTTGACCGTTAGTGCGTCGGATACTTGCAAAAATTAGTATCCGACGAATATTTTGAAGGTCGTCTTGTGTACGACCGAAAATGGAAAGAAAACTATAGGTTTGTTTGCGTTGTAACTTATACTTTGACGACATAACACAAGGCAAACATTGATGGAAGAACTATTCATAAAATTAGCAATGCTTCCAATACGATATTTGCTAAATTATGCTTTTTCCATATGTTGATTACTTTACAACAACTGTTACAAGCAGAATTTGATTAAATTTAAGAGTTTTCAAGTCCGTACGTCACAAAAAAATTCGCAAGAAATTTTTAATAATTTGTTTATTTATTCCAGAAACATCGCTTGAAGAAAAAAATGGCGAAGAAAGTGAAAAAACCAGTTTTGCTTGGTAGGTATATTAATATGATCTCGAGACCTATTTGAAATGAAAACACAAGCAAATGTATTACAAGCCCACACTGGGGAAAATATTTTTCAGTGCGTACCGACCTTAACAGTAACTGTCGTATTTATTTTTTTGTTTTATAACGATGAAACTCGCGTTGTAAATTGGCCATTGTGGTCATTAATGTTGTGACTACAATTGAATTTTTAGTACAAAGTTCACTTTGTCTGGATGGTAAAACTCACTCTTCATTCCTTTCCTTCGGGCGCTTTTGAGGCCTCGTGAAAATATTTTTTCCCTGCGGACCGCCCAACCGGTAAATAACATATATTTATTTTTTATTTATGCATTGGACCGTGAAATTTAAATAATTAAAATTTAGTTAAAAGCCATGTTAGTTGCTCAACGAGAAAGCAAACTATATTCAGATGGTAGTTATCATAGAGATAGAGACGAAGAAGAAGAAGTAAAATTTGTAGTAAACACTAAAATTTTAGCGTCAACAGCAAGCGACAATCGGCCACTTTACAACGCAATATTTTTTTCATTCTAAAAATGAAAAAATATGTATGTTATTTACCGTTTGGGGCGGTCCCTACTAAAAAAATTTTCTTACTCCGCTTCAAAAGCGTCCCTCGGCCAGAAAACTAAAAAGTATACAACAGTTGAATGACACCACAAAAATTCTGTAAAATATGTCAATATTTCCCTTTGATGTTGAAATAAATATAACAAAACATGTTTCTTACAAAACTTTTTGCCGTAAAACTATATGCCTTGTTGCAAACGGTTTTTAAAAAAATATTACAATTTGCGTAAAAGTTATCGACTATAATACGAACTAAGTAAAGGCACAATATAGGAAACGTACAGTAAGCCATTCCATTGAAAGTTTTTGCGTCTAATATCTATATCCTACTATGCATGGTCACGATATTGGCAGCCAGTCAATTATATTTTCTGACCAATAAGTGTGCGGCATTGGCACATGGAAAACGACAACCAGTAACCTAATAATGAATGTCAGTTTTCTATACTGTGGTTAAGCTAAGATGAAAAAAATATATAATCTCTGAAATAAATCAACTGCCAAACACTACATTGTTCACGTCAGTATTGGGGAGAAGAAACATGCTCCTCTTACATCCAAATCATTTCCCCAGACAGCATTTCCGATCGTTAAAGACCTCTATTTATATTTTTCCAAGGGCAGAAGTCCCAACGGGTATATAAAGATACATGCACTACGTAACAGACTTGGTTTGGTACCGTTGGTACAAATAATAAAGATATCGCTCTTATCGACATGCGCACTCCGGTTTACAATTACAGTGCATCAATGAAATTCCTTTTAATAGATAGCACAAAACGTATCTTAATTTTATTTCAGTTACATAGATAGATGAGCAAAGAATTTGCGGAGGAAAGGTAAAATCGCTTTCCACTTTTTTTGCCAAACACTTCAACAACGCGCTATCTTGGTTTTCGAGTGGAGTGCATTTCAAGACATTCGACCCTCTTGACCGCAGTAAATTCTAAATGTTGCGCACTTAATTGCTAATGACTGATGAACGATACAAAGTCAAAAACATAACGAATAACTCAACTAAATCATGGTTTATATTTGCACATTTAATCAGATAAACTAGCAAAAATATATAAAACAATTTGCTGAACATTGGAAAACCGCCAGTGGTTTAGAGATAATGTCCGAGCGAATCGAAAATTTGAAAAGGTTATTAATGCACGAGCCCATCATAGCTATTGATATTTTCTTATCAAATGATATCACCAACTAGGACCGGCTACGGCCGTAAGTTGAATCAGCTTCAAAATCTTTTAATTTCAATTAGAAGAAATAAATTATTTTAGACAGTATTGCAAAAGAAAGGATATAGAAAGTTCTAAAATTTTCTTTGTTTGGAATGCAATTTGAGAAACTAAATATATCACAAATAAATTTGATCCATTTAATAAAAACTAGAAAGCTATAAAAAGTAACCAATGAAAGTTATTCAAAGCAACCACATACTAGATAAAGCAGATTCACCGTAAAACCCAACACATATATTTTGCCACAAAAGAGCGAGTCTATAGGAACTCGTTGATCAAAATGTTTCAAACACCAAGCAACATACAACGAGTCTATTTCAGCTGGAAAGTTTGTGAAGTCCCTCAACATCATTTGGCTAATAAAGGCATAAATAGCGGTGTAAAAAACATCACTATTTAAAATCTTTGGTCGGTTAATCATGCAGGCTTGCTTACGCCTTGCCCGTCAAAGATATGATAGTAAACATACTGTTTTGTTTGACTACATACGCACATTTACCTTTGTCAATAAACGTCACAGACGTTAGTGGGAGGAATTAATTAGTTTTTGCGCAGTCGAGATAACGATAGCATTCTCTTGGACAATGAAAGACATCGTTTGATCGCATCTTTCTGATAGTCTGCATGGCATGTCATTTATGACGAACGACGTACACAAGAACGCACGCAGATGCTCACGAAAGCAACGGCCAAGAATAATTAAAATGATTCCCCCAACTGCGTGTAAGTCTACATGCAGGCAAGAACACACAGCGCCGTTTCCGTAATTGGGATTTGAAAACAGCATGAAAATAAGACGCATTTTATTCCAGTCACGCGCGAAACATCACGTGAGCCTAGATCTTTAAGGTATTGGCACAGAATAATGATTATGCAGGAGTTCAATCAGGTGTACAAAGCGTCCTCATGTCGGCCATTATCTAGCCAGATGATTTCTCACTTATTTCCAACCATTACATACATTTGCAATTGACCGTGCGGCGTGATTAAACGTTAGTTATAGTTTCAAAACTTGACGTTACTAACGGCTAACTTATTGTTGCTAAGGCGTACGCGTTAAGTTATGGAAAATGTTGTTTTTATTTAATAAACAACTGTGACATGTTAAAATTAAGCAAGTATGGAAAGACGTTTGAAAATGTTAAACTCTATCGTTAGATATAAGACTTTAAATTGGTAATGGTGAGACATAGTGTGGTTTTGTCGTAGATTCGTACAGCGACACTTTGTTATTAACCAATGCTATCTCAGGGTTACGCTTTAGAAACAATCAGATAGCTGTATAATAACGTCAAGTTAGCTGTATAGTAACGTCAAGTTAGCCGTTAGTAACGTCAAGTTTTGAAACAAAAACAACTTTAATTTATGCACGCCTCATGGTAAATTGCAAATGGCTGTAAAATTACATGACGCCAATACTTAATAATTGAATTCAAGTATATTTTGACTTAAGAAATTACTTCGGATCATTTTAAAGGTTTGGAAAAACGATAAAACTATTTACTCAAAAAAATGTCACAAAGTTAAGGATACAATCAGCCTTACCGGAAAGATACAAAAAGTTTAATCACTCAGACTAACCACTTTTACAGCTAAAAGTGAACTATCTAATGAGATGAAAAATTTTAGGATTTGTAGTTGCTACAAGAATGCGACGACAAATCTAGAAGGTCGATTTTCGTTTTTATGGAAATAATATTTTAGTTGAAGATATAATTGTAGATAAAAATAGTTATTTTTTTCATTTTGTTCATTAACTGAAAATATTCAATAAAACTTCAAAGCTATAGTTAGACAAAAAAAAATTTCCCAGTTCTAAAACGAGATGATAAAAAGAAAAGAAGTCTGTCTAATTTCCTTATCATCTCTCGAAAACAACGTCAGATAACAAAAAGTTAACCAATAACGCCCACAAGGTAATGCATGGGCGAGAACTTTGTATCGGTAAGAGGCCTATTCATTATTTCACTCCAACGAATTGATATGAGAAAGCGAACATCGAGAGACGCTTGTGGATATTAAGAGACGCACAAAGTGGCGCAACTAAATACACAGATGTCCCACCAAAAAAATGAAAACCGCATGAATTAGTTATGAATTCACTGAAATGATTATTCCCAATATTACTAGCATTCAAAACAGTTTAATGAGCTTGACAGTCCTGCACCCCTGGAATATGATAAGGTTTCTAAAGTATTTAAAGTAAAACAATTTAGAAGTCCTTTATACACAAATTTTCATCTCAAATTCACTAAACAAAAGTTTTGCAACAACAAAGCATACATTGACTGAGTTATCACGACTACAAAAACGTAATCACATTTTCCATACGTTGCTAAGAACATGAACAAACTAGCGTGTAACTAAATTAATCACGCGGAACAAATAGTTATTGATTCATTTTAATGTATACATAATAATTGGTTGGGCTCCGTTTTTTGGGGGAAGACCATGTACGGAGTGTGTCTTACAACAAACCGGACATACAGATTTATGCATGCTTATCTAATTAATTTGCTGCAGCTACAAATGAAACACTTTTAAGAAATTCAAAGTATTTTCATGCATTGACAAGTGCCGGTAAATGCATGAAAATAATTTCCCTGAATATTATTCTGTTTCTTGTCGTAACATAGCAGTGTTTCGCACCATCATACATGACTGATTTTAAAATGCCTCTGACAATAATTCATCATTGCTTTAAAAGTATTTATTTGCCTAATTGAAGCAGTAGTGGTGTGCCAATACACATTTTGTGATCGGTCTTTTCCTTAATTTGCATATTACGAAATCATGTTTATTTATGTTCTTACGCAATAAACCTTTTTGTCTTTTGTCTGAAAGTTTTAATTGTTCCTAAAGTTGATCACATACACGATTGACCAAGTTTGTTGAACAATGACGAAAATAAGTGATATTAAAACCGATTTTATTCGTGTTAGGCCGTCAATGGCAACCTGTCGTAGCTAAATTTTATTTGTTTACTGTTCCAGGGACACGCACAGTGCAAAATTCTTTCTTTTGACATGTAGCTAGCCAGATATTAATACATACATATATACGTATAGCATGTAAGCTGTGACATAGAGTTTGGGCTTTTGCAGGTAACGTATTTCGCTTTGCCAAAATTGTGATGGCTATTTCCATATCACAAGATCATTTTGCTACTTGTGTGTCTTTAATGATAAAGTTTGCAACAATAGTATTAACAGCACAAAAGAAAAGAAAATCCTGGTTTGTGCAATTTTATGAGACTCTTACAGCATGCTGTAGTTTATGTAAATCTTAAAAATTCCACAACAATCGTAGTAGAGGTAAACTTGAGTTAATTTGATTTTCATTCACTGTTTGAACAATATTTCCGGCATTAACAAATTGCTTCCTAACCTTCACAACAATATGCACAGAACGAAAAAACGTTTTAAAATAGGGCGATTAATAAAACCAATGTAAACAACACCATCCATGACTGAAAACCAATACAAATTTGAGAAACAATTCGTTGGAAAGAGAGAAGCATTCTGCGAACTTAGCGTCTTATATATAGGTACAAAAGTAAATCCTCCTTCGATAAGACTACAAAAACAGTCCCATCATTCTAACACGTACAAGTTTCTAATGACAGAAGACTCTTAATCTTGTTGGTTTTCTGGCAGGTAGTTTCATTTTGTTGATTTTCAACGTGTTTTTCTCAAGTCCATCTGAAATGTCATCACTTGCAAATGCGCACAAAGACATTGCGAGCCGCGTTGAAGCGCATCTAAAAGATAAACTGAACACTGCTTCTCGATTCAAAAGAATAGCGAAAACTGTGCGGCGTTGAAAACTTGTTCGCAGGTTCAGTAAACAAGCCTCAACTTGATATTTCGCAAAAAATCTTGTGATTTTATTTTTATCGCAAAGGAGTCCCGTGCAGGCTACACGATGACACGTTCAAATGTCTGAGAGAAATGAAATAGTTTCTGTAATAACAAGTGACAATTGCAATAAATTACAAGTGTAATTAGACAACAAAAACACTTATATAAAAAGTATGCTAAAACTTACCAAACTGTCAAATCCAATGAAGACAACAGTGCACGTTGAATTTCGCTTGGATCAAGTCTTTTTTCTATCTTTAGATTTTTTTACTGCTCCCAATCATCGCATCCTTCAAGCACTTCCTGAAAGCGTCAAAGTATCAAATCAACATGTCGTCGTCGCGTCCAGATCAACAGTGGAATTCATAAATGCGGTAAAAGTGGCGTCTTTGGAAAACGACAAAGCAAAAACATGTGTACTATTAGGATTAACTTGTCAAGCAAATGTTTCTTTAAGTGCTAAACTTACCGAAAAGTACTTAATTGAAGTTTATATGAAAAAATAGCTTTATGTTCTTGACTGTTTACTGCCATATGAAGACCTTTTATTAAATCATATACAAACGAGAAGTAACACACGTCAGATACTCCAAAAGAATGAGCGCTGCTTGACCCAAGATCTGTTTCCTACTGACCATGTGAATTCACTGTGTCTAAATATACAGACAAGTTTATCTGAAATAAAAGTGTCAAAAAACAAGCCAAGCTTGTTGTTGCAAAGGAAGAATGAAGCACGCGACATAGCGTGAAAGACACAAGATGAAAGCACGGTGCAAATAGAAACATTCCTCTCCCTATGGAAAGCCATAGCTGTCTTAGGTCGTGCAAATTTATTTCAATGGGTGCTTTGACCGTTATACACAGTGCTTTGACCTTTATACGCGGTGCTTTAAGCCTCATTTCCACCTATCGCACGAATCAACTCGCAGCTCGCTGCGAGAACTCGCAAACTCGCAACTAGTATTTTTTATGACCTCGCAGATAGTTCACATTTTTCAACTATTTTTTTCTCGTAGCTATTTCAAATAAAAATTCACCAATGAAAGAAAGGCTACTGATCACGTGGCATCGTTTTTTAGCATTATGTTATTTTCCCCTATTTTTTCAAAAAACAAACTACAAAATGTCGGATAGACAAGAACGACACGCAAGTTGGAGCGATAAAAAGTTCGAACTTTTAATCGAAACAGTAAGAAAATTCCCGTTTTGTACATGGTAAAAAGCCGTGGATACAGAGACAAAACACAAAAAGAAAATGCATGGCAATGTCTGGCAAACGAAATTGAACAACCAGGTCAGTCCGAAAACACTGAAAAATGCTATAGAATTGCTAAAGAACAGTATAATTTTTAATTATTTTTCTATTTTGTCTTCAAAGTTTCATCATGTCAAGCGAAATGGAAAGGATTAAGAGATACTTTTTCAGAAAATGTAAGAAATCAGAATTTACCTTCAGGTTCTGGAACAAGAAAAGAAATAAGATGGAAATGGTTTAGAAGCATGGATTTCATCAGGGAAACCATATTGCACAGAGCCACTTCAAGCAACCTCAGTTGCAACCAAAGCAGTGAAAAACTTCATGAAATTGATGAGGAAGATATTGTTACGAGTGATTCAAATGAAATTGAGCAACACATTATTGGAGCACTAACATCAACTCCAACTACAGAGAAAAACAAGAGAGGGTTGGAGTTAAGTACAGTTGGAAAAAAAAAATTAAAGCACTCCCCTATAAAAAGAAAAACTTCTGTGGAACGAAAAATTGACCTAGAAATATTAAAAATTTTGAAAGCAGATGAAAAGAATGGCAATGCCTGTGGAAACCAAGGCAATTCAGTAGAGGATGATTGTATGGCATATGGTAAATATGTTGGAGTCACATTAAGCAAGTTTGATAATTATCACAAATCATTAGCCAAAATGAAGATAGCACAAGTTTTGTTTGAGGTGGAATCCAGTTTGACAAATTTTCCATAAGTCCTTGACCAAAAAGACAAAGAATAAATCAACAATAACATAAACTGTCTTAAAACATTGTTATAAAGTTGAACTTCTTTGTAAATGATTATGTAATTGTAAAGGAGAGCTGTTTTACTGTTTGCACATGTTATATTCTATATATTTGCTTTCAGCTTTGGTTTTAAGAAACAAGACAGGGTTTTTTCCAAACTATATTAACATAAACTACATCTAATTTAATAAAATTTACTTAAAATGTCATTTGCTTTAGAGAAAAAAACTGAGTTTACATTAGCAATAGTTAAACTTGTAAGAATGAAAAATACCCATGCAAAGAGGAAAAGAATGTTGAAAGAATAAATCATAGTCATTCAAGGTTCCCATTAAAAGATATATGATTTTTCTGCCATGGAACTTCACCCTCTGGTTCCATGAAATACTCTTTAAATTGATCTCGCACTTCTGAGGCATCTTTCTTATAAAAATTTGAGCCTTGTCTCCCAATTGACTTTAAGCATTGTGCATTCTCCACAGAGGCTCTCCATGAGCCCAATAAAATTTTTCCATTTCTAAAATAAGGGGCTAAAGATAATAATTCTCTTGCAAATGAAATCTTTTCTCAAATTTGTCCAAGAGGTCAAGAATATTTCACATTAGTTTGAGCTCATCAAAATTGATTCATTAAAATTATTGAAATATGGTATTCTTGAAAAAAATTAAGGAATCCAATCATACCTGTCCTCACTGTCCACAAAACCCACATTTTATAGCAACACAGGTTTTTCAAAGCTTGATTTATGATCCCAACAAAAGAAAAGGTACTATGGATGATATTAACGATTGGGAACTAAAGAAAGTGCTGGAATTGCTCTTAATCTATTAAGAGATTAGTGATGTTACTGATTTTCTATCTGAGCACTCAGCAACATTTGAGTTAGCTGGAATTCTCCGACAAATCAGAAGTCTAGACGATCGTAACAAAGTCGTCAATCAAACAATCAATTGGTATCTCTTCGGAAAGACACGACTGGCATTAGAAGCTTTTAAGGAGGGACTTAAGAGTTTGGGAGTAGTACCGGAAAAACTATAGAAAGCGTTTCCGGCCAAAAGCGTATCGAGCTTAAAAGAGGGCACCGAGTCGTAAATGTGCTACCGAGAATCACGCGCAACATGGTCGAGTTTTGAAAGATGAAAAACACTGTTCCGAGAAATTTTACTACCCAGAATATTTCAACAAAAAATAGCATATCGAGAATATTTCAACACGAAATAAACTATTGAGAATATTTCAACAAAAAATAACCTATCGAGAATATTTCAACAAAAAAAAACTATCGAAAATATTTCAACAAAAATTACCTATCAAGAATATTTCAACAAAAATAACCTATCGAGAGTCATCGTTTTAATTATTGTAATTTTGACAGATGTTTTACTGGTACGCGTGGAAACATAAACATTATTCATTCGGAAAAAACCATTAGGTTTTATAATAACTGGAGCGGCTAACTGCACTGGGGTGAGGACTCCAAAAAAATGGTGGCCAACGGACGTATTTCCGCTAAAATGATCGCTTTGCAGAAAAATTATATTCTACACCTCCCCCTGATGTCTATACTAAATTATAAAGAATTCTTCATAAACAAACACGATACCACAGAATATGGATATCGTTAGTTCCATGACGATACCTTTTTTGGCATTTCTTTTATAATGCTAACACTTCAATCGTTCAATTATTGGATGTCGTAGTTTCCACAAAAAGGAACATATCGCTTCTCACAGGTGAGATAATTGCTTGTTTTGTTAGTCCGTCAACGATTGAAAAGCAATTATACATGCACTTGAAAAGCCATAAAATACATATTAAAAAGATCGTATTTTTTAAGACTGACTTGAACGCCAAATATACTGATGTTTTCCTGTTTTTGTTTATAAAACGCAGCATACTTTTCGGTCATTTGTTAATGCATGAAATCGTAAATTTACCCATCTATTTGCAAAATAGTTTCCCTAAAGCAAAATAGACCCTGCACATTTTGCTCTGTGAGTAAATATCACAAACAAACGATCAACCCAAACAGTACCCATGATTTGTAGCGGAGCTTGTTATGTTCTATTTGCTGACAACATGCAGGGAAGATCAAGGAGTGAAGATGACTGGAAGATGTTATTGACCATGCAGAGTCTTAAAAAAATGTTAATGCTGTAAAGGTAATTGATTTATTGTCTTCCTTATCCAGAGTTATTTAATTTGATCATGGTCAAATTTTATGGATGGAGACAATGGATTGACTAATGATGCCTTGAAGTTTAAGTTCATGAACCAAAGAAAGATGGCAAGAAGGTTGTGTGTGTGTTGATCTTAAATGAAATGTCAATTCACAAACATGTAAAATGGTAAGGCCATAAAGTTTGTGTCTATGTAAATATTTGTACTGAGATTGATGATGACTCGATGCAGATGTAAAGCTTCAAACTGTATAAGCCATTGGTTTTATATAACTTAATGCTTAAATCATGTCATATCTTTATCAAAATATTTTAGTTGAGTGTTGTTTGAATGTTACTAATATCTAATGCACTATACTGAAGCATTAAAGATTCAGTGATAAAACCTTTAAAGTTACTGTACTGTATATTTCTTCATTATTACAGTTTTTGCTTTAAGAAACAGTTTGAGCTTATTTACCTATTAGAGTACAGAATGGAGATTTATCATAAGCATTATTGCTGCTATTTTTAAAGAAGTTTTTTCACTTTTCAAAACTTTTCTACAATTTTTTCCTTCTTATTTCTTTTCATGAGACTGATGACATAGAGGTAATATAATCCAATGACTTTATAATTTCTAAAAAGCTTTTAAGCTTCTAACATAAAAGTACACTAAAGGTATTTAATTCAATTCGCACTTCATCATTCTTGTATGAACAAAACACCAGATGTGGATACTCAGAGAACAAAATGCACTACCAACTGCTTATGTTTTTTATTATTGAAGTGAAAACTGTATTAATCATTTAAATTGTGCACTTATATTGCAAATATAAGAAAAACAAAACAAAGTGAAAAAGAAAGGTAGAAGTATTTAAACTACAATTGAATTATAAACACCGTTGGAAGGATAAGTGTTTTGATGATTATTTGCATTTTGTCCAATTCATATATCAATACAACAAAATAAAAATGTGCTACAACTTTACAAGTATTTGATGCAGTTGCACTTCAGAACATCACAAAAAGGTTACTTAAAGTAATTTCTATACAATATTGTTTGTTTTCATTTACCTAACCTATGCAGACTTGAGTCTTTTTGAAATTTAATATGAAACTCAATTACAGAAAATCCGTAAATGTCTAGAGATTTAATATTTACTTTTTTAAAGAAACAAGTAAAAATCCTACAATTGTGGCGAAGAAAGCCATTGCCCATTGCATCAAAAGAAGCAAAATAACAATGATAACAAACAAGCTAACTTCTCTCTCGCGAGCCGTGGAGATGAACTATGATATACTTTTTTGTATAGACTAAAGAGTTTAATCGATCAAACAAGTTTGACGCTGATAAGAAAACGACGCACATCTGCATTCATACATGTGTAGCCGACATATAGCTCTTTCGTCGATAGTTATAAATGCATCCTCTTTGGAGCAGATAACTGACAACCACAGTTGACTCGCTGTTATGAATTTAAGGTTTTTACCTTGATTTTCATCAAAAAACTGCTTGCCTAATCCCAAATACACACATATATTTTCCTCACTCTTTCCTCGGGAGGGAGTGGGAAATTGTAAAATTTTCAGAAAAGCGGTCAATTTCGGTAAATCTCAGCGGCAAAGGACGAAATCCGCCATCTTTTTGGCGGTATCAGATATTTAAGGCCACGCTTGAGATAGCCGCTCCAGTTATTATAGAACTCAATGGAAAAAAACAGTGTTCGGAACGATACAAAAATGAAAATTGATGACGGTTCTCTGTTCATTTGTTTGTATTTTTGACATTTTTGTACGGTGGCCCTCAAGTATCACGGCAAATTAAAAACTCGCGGCAAATTAAAAACTCACGGCAAATTAAAACTCGCGGCAAATTAAAAACTCGCGGCAAATTAAAAACTCGCGGCAAATTAAAAACTCGCGGCAAATTAAAAACTCGCGGCAAATTAAAAACTCGCGGCAGTGGGTTGAAACACGTGGTAATGACGAGTAGTATTAATTCACAATGGCGGGCGCCCAAGAGGAAGAAAATTTAATCAAAGAATACTTTAGTAAAGGCTTCAAGTACGACGAAATTATCGAGTTATTGAGCAAAAACCACTTAGTAAAAATGAGCATCGCAACTCTTAAAAGACGTATAAAACGGTACGGCCTTCAAAGGAAAAATGTCGATTATGAAATCAATGTTGTTAGAGAGAAAATACGAAATAATAATCATTGCATATAACATTAAAATAGATACAACAAATATCGTTCAAGAAGAAATCCCACACGAATCCACATGGAAATAACGACAACTCTAAGTTTCAACTAGAAAGTTACCCTCCTCGAAGTGGAAACATATAACAATTTTGCATTTGCCCGGTTCACCACATTGTCAAAAATTTGCCGCGAGTTTTTAATTTGCCGTGAGTTTTTAATTTGCCGTGATACTTGTGGGCCACCGTATTTTTGTGCTGTAAGATTGTCGCTGTCGCGTGAAATAATGAAAAAGAGTTGAGCGATTACTTCGTTTTACTTTTAAGAATTAGTGAGCGCTCAGGACAGTGCCTCTCAGCAATGTCGCTCGATCTTTTAGAGTACTGTAGAGGCATTTGGAAAGTCATCTTGGTATTATTGCAGCGTTTTTACAAGTTCTTGATGAACATGAAAGTCTAAAAGGTGAATCATTTATTGTAGAGAGATTGCAACAGCTTTTATCCATTGCCATTGATCACTTAAAAAGAATTGAACATATAAATACGCTTGATAACACTCCGCTGTCGCCAGTGAGGGTTTGATAATGCTTCAAACAGAAGGTAGACCAAAGTATTTTATACCAGAGTCAAATGAAACGCCTCAACTCATATGGAATGACGTGAACATATTGCGCAACTCCTTCATGTCAGTGAACGGACTCTTTATCGGAGAAGACAAGAGTATAGAATACCCGAGGAGTATTCTGACAAATTTGACCATGAATTAGATAGACAATGCAATTATAAGCATACTTTCTAATGCACCAAATGCTGGGGAGAAGTTAGTAATTGGTAGCTTAAGAAGTCGAAACACACAATTGCAACGATGGCACATTAGGGACAGACTAAATGTGCTTGATCCTACCAGGCGAGCAGTAAGGAGACATAATACAATTCCTATCGTATATATAATGTGAAGAGAGCAAATCACTTGTAGCATATTGACACCAATCACAAGTTGATTTTATGGAGGTTAGTAATTTTTGGATGTATGGACGGATACAGTAGACTGCCAATATACTTACATTGTGCCAACAACAACTTGGCAGCCACATCATTACAATTTTCCATTGATGGTGTAAAAAGGTTTAGTTTGCCTTCACGGGTAAGAGGAGATCACGGAGTTGAAAACTATGATGTTGCTCGTTACATGATAGCTTCTCGAGGACTGGATCGAGGAAGTTTTATAAGTGGAAGGAGTGTCCACAATCAGAGAATAGAGAGGTTGTGAGCAGATGTGAATAGGGTGGTTACAAGACATCATTCAGATTTATTTAAATTTATGGAATCACACAACTTCCCTGATTCTACTGATGAAATGCATATTTTTGCATTACATCAAGTTTTCCTTCCAACAATAAAAAGTCTGTAATTGAACTAAGAAATCAATTAAACTACAGGGGAATAAGAACATCTCAAAATAAAAGTCCTCTTGCTCTGTGGGAGATCAGCATGATGACATTTGATCCTAACATACAAGTACATCTGCAGCAGTATGGCATTGACACATTTGGTCCAATAGCAATAAATAGCATTGAAGATGATGAAATCATTGTCCCAGAAATACAACAGCAAATATTGCATGCACAATCAATTTATTTGCAAACCATCAATTTCTTGGTAAAAGACGGAAACCATGGTATAAATCACTTTTTACAAGTGTTGAACATCGTAAGCACATAAGAAACTTCAACCCTTGTATAATGGCAACAATATGTACTTGTAATTTAAATAACTATTACTTTTGTTCAATACTTGTTGCTACCATAGTATAATGTTAATGTTCATAACAATTCTAGTGTCTCCTTGTTTAAATGCGCTAAATCTAAAATTTAAAAAGAACAAAAATTTAAACACAACTCAATCCATCATCAATTCGGTCAACAGATACTATGCTAAGATGTTTACCAGTACCCAAAGCTTTTAGTGTTTCTTATCCCAAAAACAATGGATGTCTTGAAATTGTCATAATTAGAATGAACCGTTGGAAGGCATATTATAATAGAACATGTGTTGGCCTTGGGAAACTTTGATTTTTGACCATCTGATTTAGCATCATGAATAAATGCAATTGTACGAACCTTTTGGAAACAATCAATAAGAGGGACATCGGCACAACCAGTTGCAAATGATAAAATAGTCTAGAGTGTAATTGCAGTTTCTCCCTCCTCAATGTCTATGAGTAAATCTTGCCAAATTGAAAGAAGTAGGTTTTGTGTCCCAAATTTGTAACTTCCAAGTGGACTGCGCTGTACTTTGAAAATGCCAGAGAAATAATCAGCTCATAGCTTTTTCTGTTCGTAAACAAACCAACGTGCAAAAAACGTTGGGATATTTAACAATCTCCTGTAAGACTCCCAAACTCTTAAGTACCTCCTTAAAAGCTTCTAATGCCAGTCGTGTCTTTCCGAAGAGATACCAATTGATTGTTTGATTGACGACTTTGTTACGATCGTCTAGACTTCTGATTTGTCGTGTTACATTTATAATGTTACAAAATGGGATGACATTGACCTTTGTAGCATGGTTTGGAGGTTCTCATTTAGCAGACGTTGACACCTGACGAGTAGTCTGCCGAAATGCATAGTGTCTCTTTCTAGCTGTAAATAACGGTTCCTTTGAATTGTTGGGTTAGTGTTCTGGTTAAAACAGTTCTTTTAAGAACTATTACATTGTTATTATCACCACTCACCATGGTATTTGCTATTTTGAAATCCATCTTTAAGTTTTGTAAAACATTGAAAAGCATTGAAACATTGCTTATAATTTCGGAAACAATTGTTGACGCTTTCTCATTGACCGCCATTTTGTTTTGAGACTGCAGTTATTGTCGCCTGCTGTTTGTGAGAGACAGTGTGAGAGATCCTTTCCACCTTTTCTCGGTGTCTTATTCTCGATAGGTTTTTTGTTGAAATATTCTCGATAGGTTATTTTTTGTTAAAATAGGATGTAAATTGTGTTAAAATTGGATGTAAATTTTGTTAAAATAAATTGTTAAAATGATGATTGTTAACCTTCAGTTAAGGCTTTATGCTCAAGATCATGTTTTACAGTTCAAGAAACAATATTTTTCAGTGAGCCATCTCAGAAGCCAGAAAGCTAGGGGTTTTTTGCTTGGGTTGAAACTTTGTTTTATTGTAAATTGGATTAGCAAGGACTTTCATAGATAAAAGTGGTCTTTGTCATACCATGAAAAGGAGACTGAAAGAGTTCTGGCACATTGATTGAAAAGGTGATCCTGTATATATATTTTTCAACAAGAAATGCAGTTATGACTCTGATCTATACATACTAATTTACTAATTTACTCTGCGTCCGTTGATAAAAGTTTATAATGTTGATTTAAAATACAGAATATCTGAATTAATTTTGAAGTCATTCTTTATATAATCAATGCATGGAAAGAGCAACTAAAGATGGTTTTGGGACATTGGTATGTAATAGAGACAAGATCCTCTGTTAGAAGTAAGTGAGCAAGCACTTTATTGTTTAGTGAAGCCAAAAAAAATGTTGTCCTTCAATATTTAAAAAGAGAAATTTCAGAATTATACTCTTCCAAAGTAAAGAATGGACTTCACTTATCCTATGTGGAGTGACCTTGTAGAAAGAGTGGTCAAAACATTGAATCAAAGTAATTCTTGTGTTTAGTGAGTCTAATAGCCTGAAAGCAATACTTTTAAAAGTTTATTTTTGCTCTTGCATCACTTACAGCAGGTTAATCAGAAAGGCATGTACTTTATGGCATCTGTAACATAGCTGTAAGCTGCTAAATGTTTGTTCTACAATTTTTACATTTATCTTACGCCTATGCATAATGATGTGCCTCTTTAAAAGCTTATTAACAAGAAATTCTTTAGTGGTAATGATCAATTTCTTACCAAGCTTTAGTGTTTAAGGAAAAATTTATGGAAAGATGCGTTGCTATCCTTCGAAAAGTGAAGTTGCATGCGCACGATTTAACCACGAGTTCTTAAAACTGACAAGATTTAGGTCTAAAACAGGCTTCTCCTATGTTCATACATAAGTGCATAGGTGACAGTTTAGGTTTGCTTCCAAAATTTTCGACAGAATTCTTCATTTAAAACTTACATTTTACTTGGACTTTATTAAGAGTCTCGACTTTTTGCCACCTTTCAAGATGGCGCCCGTAAGTAAATTTGCCTCACCATGACAACGGCAGTTAGATACAAAGAGTTCCGCACCAAAAAAATGGCGACATTCAAAATTGAAGGAGCGAGGAATTTTGAAATTCAACCGCGAAATACTAAAAAACTGCACCTTTTTAGAAGTGACAATAAAAAGAATATCAAACAGCAAGTGAATTTCTATATATTTTGAAAATTTTGCGCCCTTTCTTGAGGTGTCCAACGAAACTCATTTGTAAAGCATATTTTTGAGGCACAGATCACGGACTATAACCCTACCTAAGCTCAATCAATAAATTCAGTCAATGAATCAAAGAGAATTTGGAAATCAATCATGAATTCATGTTGGAGAAAATATTAAAACGTTTGCTTTAACTTGGCTTTTTCGCATTACTGTTAAATTATTAAAAGAAACAAAACCTCGAGACGTTTGTGAGAACTCTCGAGCGGGTGCAACCCTTGCACTAATCTGCTCTGTAGTTCTTCCGAAGGTCTCCTCACTTGGCAAAAGCCTGAGCAAACACAGCATACATTTTTAATTTCTGAATAAAATATAACACAAAACAAACTTCGAATATAATGAGATAAAGGAGAGGAAACAACATTAATATTTCAAACCTATTTGTCATTCCTGGTACAATTAAAACATGCTAAAAGGAAATCGATAAATAAATGATATCGTAGCTAACGGACTGATAAAAATAGCCAAATAACATATCTGTTTTAATTTGACGATGTTACACAAGCATAAACATTGACGACCGTTTATCTTTTTTCCTCAGACAATATCAAAGTTTTTATAGAAAGAAAGGTAGAAAGAAATAAAAAGCTATTCAGTCATTGAAGCATCAGTTGGCTGGGCACCTGATTGTATTCCCTCGCGACCTTCACTTTTCTTCGTGCCAGATACTATATCATCAATACGCAACAACAATATGGCCGTCTAAACACAATTGTATATATAAGGAAAACAAAATGCAACAATACAGGGAAGACAAAAAAACACCAAAATGCTCGTTGCAAAACCAACAAGTTTAAAATGTCGAAAAACGTTTCAGCTAGAAACAGTAAGGCCTCGTGAAATTGAGCAATGTAAATTTATTTAAAAATGGGACAAACGAAGGGATAAATGTAGAGATGAATCCATGGTTATTTTGTACGGAGAAAGGGGTGGGTGGTGCTCTAGCTTAGACTAAAATTTGGTGGCTACTTGTTCCCGTACCATGTCAGACTTGTTGGTTAAATTCTTTTACCTTTTTAATGGCATTGGGAGATTTTGGGAAGTGTGTTCCATTAAACACTAATTACAACTGATAATATATACAACGGTTTGCAAGCTACAGTTAAGTGGGCATTCTAATCAACGTTATTGATTAGAATGACTCTCGCCAAACGACGAGTTATCACGTCAAAACTTTACGCAAAACTTTACGCAAAACTTTACGTCAAAAGTTACGCAAACAAAACTACAAGTTAGGCCCTCCATAGTGATAAGTTTGACAGCTCAAAATAATAACTTTCGTACGTATGACAGCATGCTAATCATAACTTTTTGAAAAGTTCATTAGAATGCACGGTTAATGGTAGCTTTCAAACGGTTGTATATTAATTGTTTGGTATATTAGTATTTCGTAGATAAATTGACACCCTTCAAGTACCCCATCTAGCCAATGCAAGAAGGCATGCCCATTCCCCCCCGTGTCAAAAGTTTGATGCAACCATCAGCTGTAACTGGGGTTAAGATAGCTGCGCTTCAGTAATGTTTTAGTGTTTGGTAAACGCTAATGAAGCTTGGTCATTTCAGTTTAGTACAGTCATCTAGCTTATAGAAATGTCATGGCTGTATATGAACACATTAAGTAATGTCTAAAAAGCTGATAGTACTACACATGTAGTCTACAACACCTAACCTTTGAGCTAATACAAAAGATCAGCTATTGAATTACCTCGATAGCGGTCTTTATAGTTTGTGCTTTAACAGAGTAGGTGTCCCAAACACCAAGTTCTTGCATATCCTTTAGTTGTCCTGTCTCACCATTCACACCCCAAGTATGGTTGCCTTTGGTAGCATGTTTTGCCTATAAGCGAAGACAGACAGTTTTAAGTCTGTGAACGACACCATCTTTGATCACGTGTATTGTTTTTCATGGCAACAGTTGCTCGTGAGAAAATAAGAACGATGTTTATTTCAATGTTATTGTGCTTTATAACATGGCCCTGTAAAAATTCGAGCGCTGATTGGTGAAATACTCGAAAACTCCATGCAGGGTGTACAAAAAAAATTGGCAGTGAGGAAAACATCACTAATGTCATCTGTGAGCAAGATTTGCTAAAACTTTTGGAGGAAATAGTTGGACTTCCAGAGGATTATCTGGCTGAAAAATTTTGGTAATTGTGACAATGAAAATTGTGTTACCAAGAAGCACTTTTGAAATAACTTGCACACGTAAATAACAAAGATAAAAGGAATAAGAACACATTGGGTTAAATTATGATGAACATCTCAAAAAAATACCATTTAAAAAGGAAAAACGAAAAATAACCTGCAAGTTGGATGCGTCGCGTTTGTGTACGCTTTAAATAAATTCCCCGAAACTTTGTTAGCTCGAACTAAATCTGCCATATTTTAACGCCATATTTTCCTTCACTTTTTGGTCTAAAAGTTGGCTTTTTCGTCTTTGACTGTGAGGTGCTGTCACTGGGTCTAGATCACCGGACGTGACGTACAATGGAGAACACAGAGGATTTTTAACGCCATAGAATTATAGTGACATTCGCAGCAAGTTGAAGAATTTATTTTTATTAAAGAACAATTGTCAATCACAATGCAATGCGCGCTAAAATGATCTTCGCAGCCATTTTCTTGGTTTGAATAAATAGCAAACGTTGTATCAGTTGGTAATCCGTGGATATTCTATGCATCTATTGTGAGAAAGATGCATAGAATATCATCGTGCGATTGAATAAATTATCATATTTATAACAAATATAAACAAACAAGAGGCGCCAGTTGCCTTATGGTAGACAACGATTCTTTAAACTCATTTTTGATCGTGCACTTTATTATTTAATCAACACTATATTTCTTTAGCTTTAAAAAGCATCTAGTTCTTCAATGTACGTCATTGTGAACCAGACCTAGTCACAGCACCTCACGGTCAAACATGAAAAAAGCCAACTTTGAGGCCCAAAAAGTCAGGGAAAATTAAATTTTAGTCTTATAAAATCTATTGCAAATGTTCTCATAATCGTCAACTCTATCTAAACAGATTATTTCCCTGAGGGTGATATAGGCACTTTACCTGTTCGGTTTTTTTGATACATCCAGCAGAAACCACAGGAATTTAGAATTTTAGACTTGCAAAAGTCTCGCAAGGTTGCGTTGTGTGCGAGAATAATTTTAAAGATCAATAAAGTAAATGGTTTGAAACCGGGAGTATCGTTACATGTTTGTAAATGTAGATCGCCCAGGTTGATATAGTCCTGAGAAGGACTGTTTTTGTTGTTGTTGACTGACGTTTCGACAACCTTAGCGGTAGTCACCTTCAGAGTCAATCTTTTGACTCAGAATAGGAAATTATTACGTATTTATGACGAATTATTAGGATAAAATTTGTTAACTCATCTAGTTTTTAAAGTGCTACAGCAGCGAATTTTTCGACCACCTATTTATTTGCTTAATAAAATATCCAGTCCTTTAGAAATAATTTGATATTAAAATCACTATCATACATTCACGAAAAGTGGATTTAGTGGCTGTTCACATGAGCCCAGCTAACCGGGATTCAGCGAGACGTGAAATGATTTTGAGGTATTGAAAGGAGTAAAAACTTTAAACGCAAAACTTACAACCTTTCTTATAAGTCATGAGTCATTTCAGTTGTAATTTTCAAATCTGGCCAAATTATTTGTTTTCATTTTAAAGGTTTTGTGAATTTGCAAATTCCGAACATAGAGAAATTGCTTAAATAAGTTTTTTGTTGTGAAGGAATTAATCTTTTCCATTTGCTAAAATGATTAAGCGCTTCGCTGAATCCCGGCTACCCGGGCTCATATGAACAGGCCCTAAGTTTGCCTCCAAATTCGTTGCCGCATGCGAACTTTATGCCGCCTTGTGACGTCACAACGATGATCAAGGTCGGTATGCTAATATTATTATTATAACGCGCTCGCTTTTCTACGTGAATTCTTTTGCTTTTAAAACGATTATTTTTATCCAAAACTAACTCTACATCGAAGAGAATAATAGCGTCAAAGCAATGTCATCAAACGAGTCCGCTAGCAGGAGAAATACGTCCGATTATCCTTCTTTATCTAGGGACACTTCTGATAGCGTCGTAGCGATAGCACTTCGCTTCGTCGTCACTTTATAAAACAATAACATCGCATAGTTTTGCGTATCAAGATGCGGGGACCCGGGTAAAAATACTGTTGCACTTCCGATGCGGTAGGAATACTGCAACAGACATTAAATCAAAGAAATAATAATTAGCGGTAAGTATTTATAATTGGATACATCCGTACATGGCCTTGTACTGTAACACATGTCACTGTCAACTGTCAAAATAAAATACCTTAATGCTATTATTATTCATATCATGAATAACTAATTTACTGAACATTGCTTATTTGCTAATAATGCAATAATTAGTTTTTGCAATCTACTAAATTTCTAGTTTTTACAACATGAACTATGTAATGCATAAACAATAACACAAAGTATTTTTTATTTTAATGAACTCTTTGGTGCACTTGTCAAAGTTGCCATATTGAGTTACTTAATAATGCAATGGAGTAGTGTTGCTGTAAAGAAATGGGAGCAGTGATAAGAATGATGACTTTTGAAGGCAGCATTGAACACATCAATTGCATTACCGAACATGATTTTGGACCCATGACCTTCCTAACAATCTTGGATGTTGGCCCACTTCTGAAGGACAAGAATGGACAACTTTATTGATGGTATGGACCACAAACTAGGAATGAGTGATCACAAACTAGGAAATCAAATGATCTCTTGTCTCCTTCAAGTTCCGTAGCATTACTCCTTCCAACTTAATTGGCCTAAACAAAGTAAACAAATTTTCCAACATCAGACATAATAAACAACACAGTCATGTCAAGCACAGAGTAACTCAAAATTAATGGAATTGACATGAAAGTATGCAGTAATATTGTACTATACCTGAATGAATTCAAAGTGGACTAGTTTTCATGACAGATTATTGAACATTGTGTAAGCTCTATGTTTTGCATTGTGACCCATTAAATCAAGCCACCCATCTCATGACCATGTCTGAGATTCATCTTCCTTGTTCTTCATTTCCTCAATCAATCAAAATTTGTAAACTTCCCAATGTTTCAACATTGATGAAAATAGGAATTCTCTTTGAAGGCTGTGGTATGTTGCAATAGTGTGTAAATTCATGGGTCTAAATATCAACATAGCATGAGTAATATTGAATGAAGACATCAAAATGCCAAAGCTTGTCATGATATTGTCAACTGAAAATCTATCTAGCATAGGTTGACTTCTCTATGTGTTTATTACATGCTTGCTCCACAGCTACACAAAACCCAACACACTTGGTATGGACTGTTCGATTTTGAGATTTACAATTAAAACGGAATGTTCCAAACAGGTCCTTGAGAGAACTATAGTAAATTGTGAACATTGGTCGTCGTGTAGACCACTGATCTGATAATAGACTGGATATAGCTTCTATAGGTATCAAAAGTTAAGCTTATTGTCGATTTCAGGGGGTGTTTACATGAATCCGGAATGAGTTTCGATCCGGAATGAACTCATTCCACTTTAAAAGAATCCTATTGCATGTTTACATGAATCCGGAATGAGTCACAACTCGATCGAGTTCATTCCTAGTTTCATTCCGGATCGAAATTTCATTCCGGATCGAAATTTACTTTTTATCTCATGTAAACGCGAATTGAGTTTCATTCTAGAATGATATTGTGATTAATGACGAAGCACGCATGTGCCATGGGTATTGTCTTCTGGCAAATTGAAGCTCGTAAGTAAATAAAGAGGCTAAATGGGTTAAAATTAGTGCGAAGAAAAACAACAATTAGTTTCATGTAAACACGGATTGACATCACGTTTCGATCGGGATTGAAAGTCATTCCGGATTCATGTAAACACCCCCTCAGTTAACTTTTCAAATGGCAGTTGCCAAGTTACTTTCTAATGTTGCCAATTACATTTCCAAATATGGTATATTCGATATGAACTTGTCAACTTGAGTTCACAAGTTGTGTACTTGAGTACTGAAGTTGTGAACTAAAGTTGCGAAGTACTAGCACACGCGAAAGGTCTTTGTACCCTGTAGACATTTGGCAATGAATCCGTTCAGTAAGCAAGGAAAAGCTTTAGCAATTCTAAAGCTAGAATAATTGGATTTTAAATGCAGGAGTACCCTGCATACAGTGCCTCGACGTCTGTTGCCACTCGTAACAACTACAGACGACTCATCAAAGAAATGCATTCGGTTGCAATCAATCAATGAAATATTTGCTACGTAAGCTTCTAACTTCTCCATAACGCCCGGCCGTTCTGTCTCTCGAATAATTTGACTTATTATCTTGTAAGTGTTACCAAGATCTTTATTCAAAATTATACTAATGGACGACTTGCTAGGTATGTTTGCTGGAAGGCAAACGTTGTTATTTTCTAGGTGTTGCTGAATCTCTTTTGCGTAAATAAATGGTTTATTAATTTTTAGATAGTCAGTGTATGCAAAACGTCATCTGTACGCGTGGTTCAAACATCACGTTCGCTCTGGCGAGGTGCAATAGAACCAGTGTCTACCCATAGATCTATTATATTTGATATAGTCTTATACGGTAGGTTTAGTTGTTTCGAAATGTTTCTCAAACACTCGTTATTTAACCACATTTCAAGTATTTCATTTCTTACTTCTATTGGTAAAGCTTTTCCTTGCTTACTGAACGGCTTCATTGTCAAATGTCTACAGGGTACAAAGACCTTTCGCGTTTGCTAGTACTTCGCAACTTTAGTTCACAACTTCAGTACTCAAGTACACAACTTGTGAACTTAAGT